ATGTTAATTCATATTCATCATGTGTGCTGCTTTTGACTGCTGACAGTGAGTTTGATTGCTGGAAGCATTTAAACTCAGAGTCTCTCTGAAGTGTATAGCGGTTTGCTAGGCTGGTGTCTGCCAACTTTCCATGATGTAGCATAACTATGCCTTCTTCATCTTTTATGCAAACTGAGGTCAGGCCCCTTATCAATATTCTCTTGACACTAGTCATGATTGGACTGAATGATGTTTTTTAAATTAATAACATGAATTCAATTGTGGGTTACCTTTACAGAAATGCGTATGTGGTTTGTAATTCCCATTCACTGATGAATGGTGTCTCCAGACATTAGCTTGAGCTGTTTGTAGATGGATCAGTGACATGATGCTGGAGTCTTGACCTATTCATTTATTCAAAAACATAAAAAAGCTTAATCAGTGTTGAATGCTGCTCACTCATAGTAGTTAAACAACAGTGATGCTTCTCAAAACAGAAATGAAAGCAAACAGCAGCATTTAAATACTTCGATATGAAATAAAACGGTGAAGAATTTCCAATAGGACTTTCATTGACATAATCCAAAAAAAACCAAAACAGATCACTAGAATGAATCAGACTTTCCAAAGCTAAACACAAGAGTGAAACAGTGACAGTTTAAGTTTGATTGCAAGTTTTAGAACATTGCGAGTTTTAGGATAGCGAGTTTGATTTTCATTTGATTTTCAATGCAAAATTTCAGCCATATTTCAATGTCTACTATCATTGACAATAGCATAATGATGTATGAAGCACAGCTCACACAAAAGTCACTTTCAAACCAAGCAGCTTTTCAGTTGAGCGCAGCAAATTCACGTCACCAAACTGAACATGAGTTAAATTTACGTGGGGAAATTTTTCACCTTCAAGTGAAACTCTTTTACCCACAAAATGTCAATAAGCAATGGTAAATGTGACTGCACCTGAATGAATCAGTGCTTTGGAACAAAATGTTTGATTGAATGATTCAATGACTCATTCATAATGGCAGATACTTGTTGCCACCTACAGAAAATCGCTGACATTTCTAAGAACATTTTAAACTGGATTTGTCTATTTAACATCTTAAATTTTTGTATTTGTGATTGATTTTGTAATCCTATTTGCCATACTGCAATATCACATGGCATATAAACACACGGCCTTTTCAAACGCATTCAGATCTTAATAAAGTCTCATTTTGAGACTGAATGGTGCAAACAATCAGTCAGTGTTTCTCTGTGATGTGCACCCTCATGCTTTCCAGAAAGTTCATGATCCAAAACACCGGGCCAAATTAACACTGCAGTGGCTAACAATTAGATGAATGTTGCATTGACGCAGTCAAAACCTTGATCCTAATCCAACTGGCCTGGCACAATTTGAAAACTGCATTGCGTAAGTGCCATCCAACTACTGTAACTCAGGCTACCTGGAGTGAATCTGCCTAGAAAAATGGGCTTTAACGAAAAAATAATACAATGCGTTTCAAATAAAAGCATAATTCAGCTTGTTAGTTAAAACAAATTGTGCATTTGTACTTGGTTAGTTGGCTAATTGGTTAGCCAAAAATGCTTTTCAAACAAATCTCTTGTTGCATCCAAATTTACATCAGACTAGAACAGGCAATTCTTCTATATATTAGTCTTACTACACACTCAAAAGTATAAACTTTCCCATCTGAAGTGCATTGTAGTGCATAGTATAAGTATGTGGATTGGGATGTACCCTCTGTCTGCCCTAACTGAAAAATGTGCTAAGTGACCTTTGGCCTTAAGTAAAATATTATTTTACATTTCGAGTAAATTAGATCATCGGTCTGTTGTATTTTCTTCCGTAAACCCAAATATGAAATAAACTACAGCATTGTTCTTAATCGCATTATGAGCAGGTGTGGTAGCACCTGTCAGTGGGGAATGTTGACTTAGACATGTGTCCATAGCTCTAAGAATGATTCATGTTTTCAGAGCTCAGGGGTCAGGAGAGGCGGACACAAAACACCACACAATCCTCCCGAGAGGGGGAACATGTGTCTGTTTATCCATGGGGTGGGAAGGTCTTGTGAACGTTTCCCACTGTGCTGTCTTTTACTTCACCATATTAGAAATCCTTTTAGAAAGATAGAATATATGAAAGTCAGATTCAACAATAAACAGTTTGAGGTTAATCATTGCTTAACCTAAAGCACTCAAACCTAAACCTGAACTAAACCTTTATTTACACTACCGTTCAAAAATTTGCGGTTAGTAAGATTTTAAAAAGAAGAAGAAATTAAAACGTTCATTCGACAAAGACACGTTAAATTGGTCAAAATTGACAGTAAACGACATTTCTTCTAATGTTACAAATGATTTCCATTTCAAATAAATGCTGTTTTTTTTCAACTTCCTATTCATCAAATCGCTCATCAATCATCAATACATTCCGCAATACTATTGACATTAATAATAATAAATGTTTCTTGAGCAGCAAATCAGCATATTAGAATGATTTTTGAATGATCATGTGACACTGAAGAGTGGAGTCACGATGCTGAAAATTCAGCTTTGATCACAGGAATAAATTATATTTTATAATATATTTAAAAATAAAATTGTTATTTTACATTGTAATAATATTTTAAAATAATACAGTTTTTACTGTATTTTTATGAAATAAATGAAGCCTTAAATCAGTAAAAAAATCAGTAAAACATTAAAGCAGACCCAAAAGTTTTAAACGGTAGTGTGTGTGTGTGTGTGTGTGTGTGTGTGTGTGTGTGTGTGTGTGTGTGTGTGTGTGTGTGTGTGTGTGTGTGTGTTAACATCCCCCAGAACACCCTGGAAGTGGTGACTTTTGCCAAGAACGGTTATAATTAACATAATGTTTCAAAAATGCAAAGAGTCAAAGAAAAGATATCGTTGGGATTCCCCCCCTCCCCCCCAGCTGAAACGATAAAAACATTGACAGCACTTATGTTGGTGTGGATGCTAATATAGTTATAATTATGTTTATTATAACCTTGGTGTGAACGGGCCTTTAGAATTTAACATCTGGGAAATATTTTTGTGCAGCACACCAGCTACAAAAGAAAGAATAAGTTATGAGCAACACAGCATTTTTATGTTCTAACAAACCTAAAACAGAAGCTGAAATAAACTGAAATTAAAGGCTCACCCACCAACGAAATTTTCTGAAAGGAAAATCTTTCTGAAAATCTTTAGTCTGCTGAATAGGGCGAAATGGGACTTTATGATTCCTGTCTGAGTTTACAGAAGCTGCATGTTTCTAATTAGTCTCCTGAAACCTAACCAGAAGTGGGATTTCTCTCTTTCGCTCCCTCTTTCGAGGCATTTTATTTAATACTTATTTCCTCACATCTGCTTCCTCCAATGTTTCTTCTGCAATGTCACATCTTCGTTCCTGTCTAGTTCTCATGCTCGCAGCACGTTGCAGTCTCGCCCTGATGAGCACTTTGAGCAGTAATAATGCCACTCTTATCTTACTGAGATGCTATCCGTGGTGCTTTGAAGCCTGGTTGATGTAATCTGTTGCCGTCCGCACCTCCTCTTTATTAAACCCACGTTAGAATGACGGGTTTGACAAGGCCCTCTCAACTAATATAATCCCATAATAGTCTGGTGAGACATGCTGTCTACTGTCAATGCTCTTCAGAGAGCCTGGGGTGACAATCTTCACTTCGTCTTGTGTGCTGGTCGCTTTATAATCGGAAATGTCTTTTAAATTCCTGAATTTAAATTGAATTTGAAATGTAAAATTGTAAACAGAATTTTAAGTAGAAACATGTGAATTTCAAAATGACCATAAAATGGAATAAAAAAAAAAGTAAATAATATAAAATCGATCTATGAAATACCACCAATAGAACTAGTGTATGCGTGTATATATATATATATATATATATATATATATATATATATATATATATACACACACACACACACACACACACACACACACAATAGATGCAAATTTTGCTTTTTAATATTTATCACAATTTTAATGTCAAAAGGCAAAATTAATATGAATTTGATTGCTGTTTTGACAGTACTGAACTATGAGAAATGTTTAATAATTTGAGATTCATATATTAAAGTACATATTTTAGGGATGCACGATATATCGGCCAGCATATCGCTATCGGCTAGTTATGTTCTTTTTAGTTTTCCTTATCGGCCCAATAAGAAAATTTGCCCAATATATTAATGCCGATAAATAATTTGAATTAGTAGAAATATGATTGGAATCGCTTCAAAAAAGTAAAGTACAGTTAAGGGGTCAGGCTCTCAAAATTATATACAAATTTTGATTTAAATTTATTGGCCAATATATCGGTTATCGTCTTTCAAATATAAATAAATTATCGGTATTGGCCAAAATGTTCATATCGGTGTATATATCCTAATATATATTTTAAATATATTCAATAATGTTTTTATTACACATTTTTAAATTCCTAATTTTGCCCAATCCTGCTTTGGATGTGCTGGTTTGAATAGGAAGCAGGGGATGGAGATATTAGTCATGAGATCCACTAAGGAAGGTGGGAATTGCGCTGGTTTTGTCTTCATAGGCTTCTCTTTATTTTAGGATAAAAAGCAGAAACATGAAAGGAAAATGTCTGTGGAGAAGATAAATGTGACTTTGATTGGAACTGGAGGGAGTTATCTGAACATTGAAGAGAAAAACAAGAAGGGGTGGCTTTAGAAGAGTGTTAAAAAAGAATAAAGACGAGGAGGAGGGTATCAATGTGGCCTCCGTTTCTCTATACATTAGTGAATGACTAATGAGAAACAACAATGAATATTCATGAGGTCACTCTTCATTAGAGAGACGTTGATGGTATAGTGAAGGGCCCTGCATCTCTGTAGAAGTATGTGAGAGTGTGTGTGTTTTTGAATAAGATCAGGGTTCGGCAGCCTCGTCATTGTCAGCAGTCCAAGTAAACACCACAACCTCACTCACACCAATGCAAAAGAACATGTTTGTGTTTGCATTACAGAATTGCAGAAAACCCCGTCCTTTGAGCACTACACTTTGTCTGAGAAGGCCATGGACTACAGGATCCTTTTCATGGATGAGGATCAGGACCGCATGTACGTGGGCTGCAAGGACCATGTACTCTCGATGGACATTAATAACATCAGCCAGACCACGCTGAAGGTGAGAGAGCAGTCGACACTCCTCTATATCAACATGAAACACTTCTACAGCTGTTGAAACCAATGGTGACCACATTTTCTCATTTGACAAATGGGAGAGAAGTAGTTTGTTTAAACACAGAGACAGCTTAAACACAACTGGCACAAAGTATGGAAGTGTATCTTTCCTCTTCCAACTAAGGCTGGCAAAACTTCAGATTCATTGCATTCTGCGGGTCTATGCTGCAGGACTCCACCCTGAATCACATGAGTTCGCCAGTAAGAAGCCTTAAGCCTGAGAACAATACAGCATGATTTTTGTTTTCTTTTAGAGCTTGTGATTGCTAAATAACTCCTAGGCTTTAAATTTGATATTTATAGTAACTTGCTTTTTTCCATGAAACAAAAAAAAAGAGTGCCCAGGCTGCTTTTGTCTATACAATGAAAGGTGACTAAGAAGTGTTGTTGACACACACAAAAATTAGGAAATGTGCCATAGAAGCATTTTGTATGACACATTTTCTATGTTTGAAGTCTTCTGAAACTATACATATATATTATTTTTATGACTTTTTTTCTGGATTCTTTGATGTTCAAAAGTACTGCATTTATTTGAAATTGAAATTTTATAACATTGTAAAAGTCACTTTTGATCAACTTAATGCATCCTTACTGAATAAACATTAATTTCTTTAAAAAGAAAACTGACGAACCTCAAATCTTTGAATGGTAGTGTAAACTTTTTTTAGCTGAAGATCTGAAAACCCTCCACCACAGCTCCCAAATCGCATACGTTCAAATGTGATGCATCAAGATGTGTCATGCCAGGTTTGATGTCAATTTAAATTGCAAAATGGCAACTATTGATTAAATATGAACAATAACACTTGTCTAGTAGTACTATTAGACGTGCATTATAACGTAAATCTGTCAGTCAAAAACTACACTGTCATGTCTAAAGTTCTTTCATTAATATTAAAAAATCTTATTTTTTCTCTATCAGATCTTCTGGCCGGCATCCACCAGTAAGGTTGAGGAGTGTCAGATGGCTGGCAAAGACCCCACAGTAAGAACATTGACACTTTTAAACTCCTTGCGTGTTATGGTTGGCCACCTTTTTATGCCTCAGATAGATTCACACACAGCAGCAGCATTCTTGATTCAAATCCTATTTGTCTGTTGCTTGGTGAAGTGATCATCCAGTGAGCTGTTTTCACAAGCATTATTCTCCCTACAATCACAGCAATTAATTAAACTTGTCCCAAATCAATCAAAAGAGCAGCAAACATGAGCTGATTCTAAATCAGTGTTTAGACCTCGAATTTGAACTGTTATGGCTGGATCAGGAACAGATGCATGGGTTTATTTAAAATAAAGTTGTATTATTCCAATTTCTATCAGTCATGGCTGGATCAGAAACAGATGGTTTTTGCCCCAGTGCCCATGAGTAAAAGCTGCCTCTAGATGTTGTCTGTAGCGCGATGGGAGGTCACAATGTGTCATTAATTACGTGTGTTAGAAAAAAGTCAAATGTAGGAATGGACTAATGTTCTCAGCTGGCCAAAGAAAAAATACTGTACTTAACACACTTACCATAAATGCCAGATGCAAAACGAGACACTTATCTCACGAGACGAGACGAGACACGAGATTGGGTTCGCGAGAACGAGACGAGATTTTTGCACAATTTTTCAGAAATCCTCAATGACAAAATTCATGACTGGAAAAATAGTCTGCAGGTGCATTTTTGAAATGTTTAAATAAGAATCTTCTAATGCATGTCATTTCAGGTCTACTTACGAGTATGAGTTATCAAATGCATTGAAAGAAAACAATATCCAAGCACTGTAAAAGGTTTTTACTGCCTGGCTTTTCTCCTGTATGATTTCACATGAGTCTCTTCAGACCTTACTGTACAAATGAGCTTTCAGAGCTTCTGATTGCTTCTTTCAGTGTGTGACCTCCTAACTGAACTCCTTTCCACAAATTGAACATAGAAATAAATAACAGTTTTCTCTTAGTCTTATTAAGTGCAACCATAATAAAAGTAGGCTACTGTACCGCACAGCAATTTCACAACAATGATAAAGAGTCTGTTTTATTTTGCACCGGCAGTTATAGGGTTTAAGGTCCTTTCACACTGTACGCGATTTTGACGCACGAATAATTCGCGCGATAGTTTTATTTTTTGATCAGCTGTTTGTGTAATGAGTGCTTCCACACCGAACGCGAATGTGCTGCAGCGAAAAAACAAGTTTTATTTTTTTCGCTTCGATGTCGATTTTTTTTTACTTTTGCGGCGACAGAAAAGGCTTCAGCCAATCACATACAAGGAAACAAAGGCGAAGCTTGTTGACGCTTTGTGACGTAGCAGCATTATATGCGAGAGAAGAGAAGTGTCACAACATGAAATGTAAACTAAAAACAAGCAATACTTTGAAACTAGAAACCTTTTATAATGACAGCATTTTTATATTGCCTATTCCGCATCTCAACGCACGCATACCCTATCATTTATGACATGACGGTGTTTCTTACCAGCAAAAGAACGAGGCATGGGATAAAATAGCTGGGATAGTTGGTGTCTCCGGCGAGTTGATGAAGTGCGTGCAGATGATTTATAATATTTTTGACTAGGAGGGAAATAATTGATTTGGAATATTTTCAACATTCATGGTTGTGTGTTTCATATTATTTTTGCATGCATGTATAGGCCACACACCAGAGCATGTGCGTAAATAAAGCAGAGCGGGGTGACGCTTAAATAGGCCTATAAGTTAAAAAACTCAAACAAAACATACGTTTATACGTTTAAATAATATAATGCTATTTTTTTTTTATTTCATCTATGTTGATGATCTATATGAAAAGGGAACCGCATGAGATGAGTAAGGATCATAAGATGCCCAATATATCACATATTACATAAACATTTGGAATGGGTCAGAATTTCGTTTAGTATAAATTGTATCTTAATTTTAATCAATGTTTCATCATCATATTGCCTGGATTAATAGGAATAAGAAGCAAATATAGTAGACAATATAATTAAGACACGGAGGCGTGAACTGGAGCGCGTCTCACACCGTGTCCTAACTACACGCGACGCGATAAAATTCCAGCGACAGCAAGTGTGTCTGTCCACACTAGACGCGACGCGACTGTGAGACGCCACACGTCAATCAAAAATCACAGCCATTCAGAACAGCGTGTGGGCGGAGTCTCTCTGTGAAAGCGCACTGCTGGCCCGCACTCGAATTGGAAATGGGTAAGGACATAATCAAATCAAGAAATAACATTATTTAAAATCAAAACATTAACAAAATATACTCATTGACTAATTTTGTTATGAAGTACAGTTGTATGGTTGCATAGAATTCAGTTTGAACGCTATATTATATGCTTTCAAAATCTGAGGTAAATTATCCATTATCACTTGTTATGTGGCACAGTGACCTATTTTTAACTAAAAATAAATAATGTGTACTCATAACCAGTGTAATTTCTTGACACGCAGAACTTCCATCCAATGAGATCTCTGTGTGGGCGGATCTGTCAGCCACGACGTCGCAGAAATAGGAACCGTTTCTAAATTAGAAACTTTGCGTGTCGCCGTCGCGTCTGGTTAGGACAAAAACTGTGATTAACATGGAAAAGATACCTTTTATCGCTTGTCGTGGCGTCGCGTCGCGTCTAGTTACACGGTGTCATACCGGAAACTGACAGAAAACACTTTATTAATAAACAATTCATAATCCTTACTTTGGCCGGTTCTTTGTGGCAAAGTTTTAGCTACTTTACAAGATTAGCATACTCCCCTTCAGACTCTCTGTTCTTTAAGATTGAGTGCACACAAAACCTTCTTTTCTGTCGTTATAAAGAAAACGAAAAGCTCGTCTTCACTGGATGATGATGATGATGAAGTGTCCGTGTTTTCTCAGCTGTCGGCGCGAAAGTTTTGGAATGTTGAAGCTCTGAACGTCACAAATTCGCATCGCGGCTGATGTGAATGGTTTTGACGCGAACTATTCGCACGCGAACTATTCGCTTTTCCGTTTCACTTTTTCGTTACGCGTCCGGTGTGAAAGGGCCTTAATGCGGCGAGTAGAGAGAAACGACCGAGTGCGTTTGTCTCTACGGTTGTTCTTGCGTTCCGATTAAAGCAACTGCAAGTTATAAAGTCTGAATTGCATGATATAAACTCGCAATTTTAAGAATTGAACTCCACAAATCAAATGTGAAATAAAAATTAATAATTACCTTTTTTTATTCTGTGGCAGAAACAAGCTTCCATACTTGATTTAAAAAAATTTATCTGACAGGCACAATAATTTTATAAATAAAATTCTACATAATTCAAAAGCATTCCAACTCTTTGAATCTATGATCTATGAATAGAAATAACATAACAATACTTTATAAATTGCAGTGAGGTATTGTGATTTTTTTTCAGATGACAGTATTTTTGGAAAGAATTGGAGGAAAATGCACTTAATTTGTCATAAAAAAATAAGTCCAGAATGCAAATAAATAAATAAATCAAAAATTATTCAAAATATTTCATTATTTAAAATGTATTTAAATTATTTTTTAAAAATTGTTTATTTCTTTTGCTTTGCATTTTAGGGTGAAAAATGCCAATGTACTTAAAAGTTCTCATAAAATTCACCCAGCACTAGATACTTCAATTGTAGAAATACAGTGGATTAATAACTTTAACAGTGGGGCTACAGAGACATAGTGAAATATGCAGTTCAGCCTTCCTGCACTGCTTTTGACAAATATTTGTGTTTGAGCCCTTTCTAGGGTCTGTTTTCCCTCTATCAATGAGTGTGCATGTTGAAACTAGGGTTTACACCACATATTTCCCCTAACGTTTTATTTGTATCTATGGATCTGTAGTGCTGCTCCTTGTTAGGTTTCCCTTCCCTCACAGGGATACACCCTATACCTCTCCTCTGATAGGATCAGCAGCAGCCACAGGAGCGACAGCGCGTGACCTCATGTCATCCGAATCCATCGGCATCATTTGGGAAACACTGAGGCATTTCTTTAACAGAGCTGTAAATGATATTAAGACGTGTTTATAGAGCTTGCTCTTGTTAATTTTGCCTGATCTCTACGTGAACCGTGAGCTGTCAAGACGTCTTTTCAACCTTTGCGGAAGAAAAAGTTTACAAGCCAGAAGAGGATAATGTTGATATATGCCACAGAAAAAGAAATATTAATGACAAACATGTGAAAGGGAGGAGTGGATGGTGGGGTGTGTGCTGTTGGAAGTGCAGTTATTTTCCTGGAGTTGCTCATGAAGTGTGTGTGCACATGCTAACCGAGAGCTAATGCAGCTGCTGTTTTGACACACTTCGCCAAGTTCCTAACTGCTCCCCTGGCGCTTTTTCTTTTCTCGACTCATCCCTCTCTCCCTCTTTTTCATGTGCAGTTGGTTTGGCAACACTTTAGTTTGGGTTTCCTGGATTCCTTGAATAGGCCTTGAATTCCTGACCTATATAAACTTTCACTTCCTGAATTATAGGTTTGGATCGATACAAGTCGTCTTAATTTTAATTGGCATTTTCAGTTTCCAAAATGAAAGAAGTCAGCTTTCTTGCAGCATCAGCGTTAAATGACTTTAAACTCAGATTGTAAAATAAGATTGTAGTATAACTTTTAGGATCAAAAGCAATGATCTCTGTTTCTTTTGTTCTCCTCAGCATGGATGTGGAAACTTCTTACGAGTGATCCAGCCTTATAATAGGACGCATCTGTTCATCTGCGGCAGTGGAGCCTACAGCCCAGTGTGTGGATATGTTAACCGTGGCAGGCGTCCTGAGGTCAGTTTACACTTACTAATGTAAAGCAGTCAGACGGTCTGATTTAGGTCAGTTTCACCTTAATTTTTACTACATTTGCTTCAGATTTCCAAAATGTTGTATTGGGAAATGGACAGTAAGCTCATACTGCCCTAATTTCCCTAATTTCTGTAATCTACCACTGAGTTGTAAGGTCATACATCATCCATCTTTTGATATGACATCCTCCATGATAATTTAGACCAGAATGGGAATGAGGGTAGTTACTAGTTAGAGGTCAAAAAAAGAGAGAAGAGACCAGATGAGACGAGACATGCCAATCAAAAGGAGAGCAATTAATTGTAATGAGATTAGACCAGATGACAAAACTAAATTAGACGAGGTGAGATGAGACTAAACAAGACAAGAGACGAGAAAAGACGAGGTGAGATGAGACGAGACTAGATGAAACAAGACAAGAGATAAGAAAAGACGAAGTGAGATGAGACTAGACTAGTCGAATCAAGAAAAAACAAGAGACAAGACGAGATGAGAAGACTATTCAAAACAATACAAGAGAGGAGACAAGGTGAGGCGAGATGAGATGAGACAAGACTAGACAAAACAAGACAAAAGGCGAGATGAGACAAGACTAGACAAAACAAGACAAAAGGCGAGATGAGACAAGACGAAACAAGACAAATCAAGAACCAGATAAGATGATTACAACTTTTTATCTAGCTGCAACATGTGAATACATAGTTAAAGGTTAGAGAAGAGATGAGACAAGATTAAATTAAATGAGTAGAGATGAGACAAGATTAAATTAAATGAGTAGAAATGAGACAAGATGAGATTAAAAGAAAATAGAAGAGAAGAAAGAAAAAAAATTAAGAGACAAGACGCAGCAAGATGAAACAAGACAAGAGATGAGGAGAGGCAAGATGAGATGACAAAAAGTAATAACCAGATAAGATGATACGAGAGGTGACAAGCCGTGACACGAGATGGGAATACACAATTAAAAATGAAAGGAGAATGCAACTAGATGAGAATTAAAACAAGAAGAGGAAAGTGAAAAGAGACGAGACAAGAATCCTTAAAGTTTCAAGATAAAGCAATGAGACCAGATAAAATGAGACCCAGATGAAATAAAAAAAGAATAAGAAAAAAGTGAGGAGATCAGCTGAGATGAAACCAGATGAGGTAAGATTAAATAAAATGAGAAGAGATGAGACAATATGAGAAGAGATATGAGATAAGATGAGGCAAGACATGAGAAATCAAAGAGAGGAGATGAGATGAAACAATATAAACCTAGAACCAGATGAGATGAGACAAGAGAAGACAAGCCACAACAGGAGACTTGAATACATGAAATATTAAAGGTTAAAGGAGAAGACACCTGATAAGATGTGACAAGACTAAATTAAATGAGAAAAGATGAGACTAGATTTGAGATTAAGCAAAAATAGAAGAGAAGAAATTACAAGTGATATGAGTTGAGACAAGACACAGCAAAGTGAAACAAAAGACAAGAGATGAGGTGAGACAAGATTAAACAAAATGAGAAAAGACAAGAATACTTAGAGAAAGAGAAAAGAAAGGGGAAGGAAGAAGGGGTGAAGAGAAGAGACAAAATGAGAAGAGTTGAGATGAGGCAAGATCAAATGAATTAAGAAGTGAGATGAGATTTGATTAAACAAGAACAGAAGATAAATAGATGAGAGTGAGACCAGATGAGATGACACAAAAATGAAACTAAAATCATTAGAGAAAAAAGAGAAAAAAAAGAGAAAAAAAAACGAAGAGAAGAGACGAGACCAGGCAAGACCAGATGTGAGTAGAGTTAGTACTGCTAGCCATCTGAGTTCAGCAGCTTGTTTCCTATCATTCTTTTTTTGTTTGAAAAGCATTTTACTCTCTCAACCCTCCACCCGTGTCCAGTTCTCTTGGCTGCACACCAGCTGGACTATTACAGGAGCAGAAAACTCCAGAACGGGGTGACCTGTGACCTTTAAAAGTGTGCAGTGTAGCTTTGTGACATAACAATGATAGGGCCACCCTGGAGTCACCATGTGACTTGTTTCTTTGCCTATAGTTGCGTGTGATGTAAAGAGGCAATACATTAGTCAATGAACACACGCGTCCTCGTGATAAATGAGAAGCTCTAGCACCAGCGGCTGTATGTCCTGACGGAGGCTCTCTACGTCTCTGGTTTCTCTCACTTCACGTGACTGGCCAATATCCTGACAGTCGGAAACCTGGAAGCATCTGGGCAAGTCTGTCCAACCAATCAGAAGAAAGGCAGCTCTCCAAAACCACTGCACAAATGCGTGCTAGGAAATTACTCAGAAATATTTTTATATAGATTGGCTGTGAAACATTTCAGATCAAATTGAAAGTTGAGAATGGATTTGATGATGGGAAATGGGATAAAATGATAGCAAGAGCATATGTCAGAGTCATATATATTTATGAAGACTATGATCTGATTATCGCCTTAAGTCTGGTCAACTTTGCAGCTTATTCTGGGAAAGAATCGGCCGCTTGGGGTGAAACTGACATATAACAGACTAACTACTGTGTTTATTAGGGCTGGAAAAAAATATAGATTTCTCTATTTTAATCAATTCTCATTTTGAAGAACTGATATCGATTCTTAAAACCCAAGAATCAAACTTTACATCGTACACCCATCCAATAAATCTCAATCATCTTTGTGCTTTCTGATATGAAAAAGTCTCAGCTTTCAAATTCTGTCAATTTTATTACAAAATTCAAATAATAGCATTTTGTTAAATATATTCACTATATTACATATTCATTGTATTTAAACTGTTCTTCAATATTAAATACATGTTTGAATAAATCTTCATGTTTTTATGGCAGCCACCATTAAAAATGTTTATATATATATATATAAAAAAAAGAGTTGAAACATAATTATGTCATTTAAATTGTATTATTATAACATTATTATTATAAAAACTCCCTTATGTGTAATTTAAATGCAAGTAGTCTACAAATCAGTTAATTTAAATTTTTTATATTATAGTGATGTACCAACTGGGGTTCCCTGTATAGTTTACAGCATTAGTATTATATTTTATCTTTAGGCCCCAATGAATAGATTTAGAATCGATATCGAATTGAATCGCAAGCTTGTGAATCAAATTATAATTGAATCGTGAAATTTGTGTCAATGCCCAGTCCTAATGTTTATACACGTGGCTTAATGGGCAGGTTTATCTGAAATAGTTGATACCATAATAACGTTGTGATTGTGAAATTCGAAGAATATGAAGATTTTGTGTGTGTTTTTTTTTTGGTGTCATTGGCAGGAGCAAGTGTTTCAAATCTCTTCCCGAACAGAATCAGGGAAAGGGAGGTGCTCCTTCAACCCACAAGTCAACACCGTCTCGGTCATGCTCAGTGAGTGCTGGCGTCTTTTGTGTCTTTATCCACAGGTGCCATTTTGTCTTGCACACTTACTCAAATTCATTTTCTCTATGATCTCTTTGTTCATGACCCCATAGTGGCACCAAACACCCACATTTTGTGGGTGTCTGCTGCCCTTCCGATGTGACAACTTTGGGTCGCTCAGTGGCGCCCCCTTAATCCTTTGATCTGTAATTGGCTAGTTGGTGTTAGGTTGCTGTTGACACAGCTCTTGGGCTACATTACACACACACACACACACACACACACGGTCATTAGAACAGCAATATAAACACACCAGTGTTATTTTAGTATAATTGATATAGTATTATTTTGAATTTTTTTAATATATATATTGAAATTTTATGTCAGTTTTCATTTTACACCTAAATATCTCACAATATTTCCAGTTGACGTGAAAAGCTGTCTCGCGATATCAGCATGATGGAGTTGAGTTTGTGGCAAAACCTTTTACAATGCTTGCATTATATTGTTCTATCTTTTACTGTATTTGATCATTCATTACAAGATCATTCATGACATTCATTACAAGACGATTTGTTAAAACATTTCAAAATGCACCTGCATTGTTTTGCATTTTGTGTCTGTCAGTCGAGTAAAAGACTATTTTTCCAGTCATATATTTCGTCACTGAAGATTTCTTCAAATTAGTGTTAAAATATTGTCTTGTCTTTTTCCTGTGAACTCAACATTGTGTCGTCACACCTCTACATAGTATTTATTTATTCATTTTTATTTGATTTAGTTATTTTAGTTCATCAAGTTAAACTAACATCAAGTTTTATAGTTTTAATTACTAACCCTGAAACAAATCTCTCCATTTAACTGCATGTGCCACATATACTCTCCTACGAAATCACACACGCACGCCTAAATATAATATGCTATTGGTTATCGTTGAGTCATCTGTATATGAGAGAAAGTTTTAAGTGGTTATTCCATTAAGTAGAACAGTTCCTAACCGTCTAGACGGCATCAAAGACTGACGGTCCTTGACATGACAGCCTACAGCTTTCTCTGTCTGACGTCTGTCTGCAAATTTCCATCATGCACTTGGCCCCTAGTTGTGCAAGTCAACCACGGGACCAAGCAAGATGGAGTGATGACGTGATAAGAGTAGTGGATTGATGAAAGGAATGAGAGCTTTGGGGAATGGAGATTTGAGCAGGTCATTAGTAGAGCACACCGCAGAGAAATGTACAGCCACAATAAATCCCTATGTCTCATATTCAGCAGAAAGATCTGTTCAGCCAGTAGCAGAAACCACAGTTATATGCAGTAGGTTTACAAAATAACAAGGCTGTCAAAGTTAAGGTGTTAACGCGTGCAATCAAATGTTTATGTTTTATATATATATACACTGTATACTGTATATATATATATATATATATTAGGGCTGTCAGTTAAACGCGTTATTAACGGCGTTAACGCAAACCTATTTTAACGGCGTCAATTTTTTTAGCGCGCGATTAACGCGTTTGGCCTAGCAAACGCTGTAGTTTTTTTCACATGCTTTTGCAACAGGACGCGGCGCTGTGCTATGAAACCTATTCATTTCAATGGCTTGCGCCGCGCGAGGACGTTTTGTTGCTTCGTCGACCAAAGCGCAAGTGGATCTACCTTGACCGGAAACACACACTTGTTTGGGCTTGCGAGCCGGCCAAATAGTTGGTTAACGTTACGTTTTGAGTGGATGACGAGCGCGAGACGCCGAAATGGATGCCAATAAGATTCTGAATGGAAAGTTTACTTTTAAAAAGTTGCCAAATGGTTCCATTGACAAGACCAAAGTGATCTGTGTTTTGTCATTGTGAACTGAGCTATCATCATCGCAGCGCGTCCAGTCTGAAATACCACTTGTTGATGGCCAAGCACACACACACACAGCTGATGCGAATTCTCCGCCCCCTCGTCAATATCAGGACCTCGTCGGTATTTCTTTCACCCTTTTATTGATGGACAGTGTTACATTGTGTGAAAGATTATTTGCTCCAAGTGAGAATGTTAGTGTGAATTTGAACACAGTATATGCCAATGTTGTTTTCAATAAAAAAAACATTTGCACAAAGCAAGCCGATCCACTTTTCCATGTTGATAAGAGCATTAAAATGAGAAAAAATAATGGGACAAAAAGAAATCAAGAGACATTTAGAATAGATAAAAATTTGCGATTAATCGCGAGTTAACTATGACATTAATACGATTAATCGCGATTAAATATTTTTATCGTTTGACAGCACTAATATATATATATATATATTAGTGCTGTCAAATCGATTAATCAGTTTAATCGCATCTAACATAAAAGTTTTTGTTTAAATAATTTATGTGTATATATATTATTATATGTAAACACACACATTTATGTATGCATATATATATATATATACTTATATACACACAGACATATGCACACACACATATATTATATATATATATATATTTATAATAATTCTGTATATTTACAAATTTTTGTCTAAAACTTTTATGTTAGATGTGATTAATTGCTGTTAATCGATTTGACAGCAGCACTAATTATATATATAAGTTTTTTTTTATATCAATATTTCATTTATTTCATTTGACATCACAACTGTTCCAGTCTGTCCTGTGTGATTTTGTGTGTGAACACGAAAACATCTTTAAACATGTAATATTAAGTCCATACAGTGCGGGGAAAATTGTATTATTGAATTATTTACACATTTACATTTTTTTACATTTAGTCATTTAGCTGACGCTTTTATCCAAAGCAACTTACAATTGCTATATGTCAGAGGTCGCACGCCTCTGGAGCAACTAGGGGTAAAGTGTCTTGCTCAGGGACACACTGGTGTCTCACAGTGGATTCGAACCCGGGTCTCTCACACCAAAGGCATGTGTCTTATCCACTGCGCCATCACCACCCACCATTATAATTTTTTTATTTAAGTGTCATCCACAATTATTCTTAAGAGGAACTGAATATATTAAAATTAAAAGGACAATCACTATTCTTTTGAGAAGAAATAGAATCCAAAAATCTTAAACTACTACGTTTTCCCAAACGAAAATCTTTCACTGAACATGAAAAATTGGTATAAAGCAACTGTGGGACACGTTTGTGTTTGTGTCTATGGTTAGATCAGGAGCTGTTTTCTGGCATGTACATCGACTTCATGGGGACAGACGCGGCCATTTTCAGGAGCCTGACCACAAGAAACGCAGTGAGGACAGACCAACATAACTCCAAATGGCTGAGCGGTATACAAACCCTACATGTTATTTCATCCATCTACATTATTATGCCTGTTCAATCAGGAAATTGCTCATAAGGTTTACTTGAAACTACAAATAATTATATATGTGTAGCTGGCATCAAATTACATGTTCACGTTCCATGGCATTTCAGTAAAATAATACACAAATCACACAGCAAAAAGTGTCTTTGCCCACATCAAAGGAAAAGGCTGAAGACAGGACAGTCTGTTTACAATGAGTCCACCAGGAAAGTGAAAACATATTGTACATGCATAATGGTTTTCTCACTATAAGGGGTCACATTATCTTTTGTGTGATACTATCCAAATATACACAATGAAGCACATATTTGGTCAGGTATCTCAGTTCGCCAACAGCTATATTAAATTTCACATAAACTCAGGCATTAGCACCATTCAGAGATGTTTGATTTTTTTGGAGAGAAATGAGAGGGTACAATAATCGTATTTCTCTTTTGTGGTTTATGTAGAGCGAATTGAGTGTTTAAGCTGTAGTTATGCTTCTATTTTGACTAGAGCCAGTGTTCATTGATGCCCACTTGATTCCTGACGGCTCAGACCCAAACGACGCCAAACTCTACTTTTTCCTGCGTGAGAGACTGACAGACAGTAGTGGAAACACTAAGAACATCCACACTATGGTGGCTCGAGTGTGCCCTGTAAGTCTCTGTGTGTTTGAGCATCTTGTCAGTTTGTTACAGTTTGCAAGTTACGCAATGATGTACAGGGAGGTCAGTTTTATAAAAGGAATTTAGATTTTTTATTTCAAGGTGCAATCAGAATTTTGAAAAAATATATTAATATCATTAACTCTATAATATATACATGTATTACTATAATTTATTTTATGTTATTGTAAATTCTATTTAGAATGACACTGGTGGTCAGCGCAGTCTGGTGAACAAGTGGACAACGTTTCTGAAGGCTCGGATGGTGTGTTCGGTACTAGAGGAAGACGGTACCGAGACCCACTTTGATGAGCTTGGTGAGACTACAAACACACACACGTTGGATTTCCATGTTTTATGTGGCCTTTCTAAAGACATTTATACTGTACAAACTGTTTATTCTCTATCCTACCCCCAAACCTAACCCTCACAGAAAACTTTCTGCATTTTTACATTTTTAAAAAACATGTGTGACTTATAAGCCGTTTTCCTCATGGGGACCAAAAAATGACCCCACAAAAATCAAACGTTTCTGGTATTACTATTTTTGTGGGGAAATTCTGTCCCCACAACATAGGGAATACCTGAACCAGACACACACAAGTTGTGTTTTCATGTTTTATGGGGACTTTCCATAGACATAATCTTTTTATACTGTACAAACTGAATATTCTCTCCCCTTACACTAACCCTACCTGTAAACCTTCCCGACCCGTCACAAAAAACTTTCTGCATTTTTACATTTTCAAAAAACATCACTTAGTATGATTTATTAGCTGTTTTCCCTCATGGGAACCAGGACATGGACTGCAGATATTGCATCTAATGTAGGGTTTACCAAGTCTCTCTCTCACACACACACACACACACGCACGCACATTAACTGGTGTGCAAAAAACATTACTGGTGTGCATCTTGAGACAAAACAATGGCAATGATATATTTTAAGATATGCCAGTGCAAATTTCACATTCTAGTTAAACAGCTTCCTATAATAATTGGTCATTAACCATAAAACAGTTGTTTGTCAGTATTACCATTCAAAAATAGCCCTAGGTCGTTTGTAAAGCTTTTCACCTCATTAAAATCCTTTTACGATCATAAAACACTCAGCACAAATAGTTTACACTGGATGTTTAAAGCCCATGATGGATTTACACTTTCACCTGTTTTATTCTTGTTAGGCTGCACTAGAACCGTGTAACAATGTTGTGGGACAGATGTTCAGCCGTTGAGTGAGTGCTTGTCTCTTTTCTTCCAGAGAATGTGTTTTTATTGGAGACGGACCACCCAAAGGGCCTCCTCATCTTTGGAGTCTTCACCTCTACAAGGTAAAGCCAATAGCAATATTGAGCTTGCCACTAATATGTGTATATATGCATGCACATGTTTTTGTGTGTGTATTTGCCAAAGATAGGTCAGGCGGGGTTGAAGCTGAGGGGATGACGGGGTTTCTGGGAACATGTGATCACACCTAAGGGTGGTGAAGGGAGCGAAAGGTCACTTCTTTACAAACATGCATCTAATGTTAGTTCAGGGGGTCATCCAATAGCTTTTTACTGTGATGAATTTAACATTATAATGAGGAGGTCTCGCTGAATGATTTAAATGGGACAGAAAGAGGGAGAGACAAGTGTGATGTCACTCAGCCAGTTTAAATAAATAAATATATCATACCTTTAATATAGTACATACAATATAATAACATTTATTTGATAATATATGATATTTTTTCACTCTATTCTATTATTTGTAAGTGTTTGTATATATTCTAAATACTATATTCTGCAATATAATTCAAAAATAGAAAAAAGAATGTCCTTATTAAAGGTCAATAGTGCCCATGAAAATCCATTCTAGGGGGAAATTAAAAAAAAGCCATCTAGCATAACACCGATCATTTCATTTTTTAATTCTGTATGAGACATATGAGGTACAGCAGAGTTTGAGATACTGTTGCGATCTCTTCTGAAGATCTAGAGAAGTAACAAATGAGATTACTGAGGGTTTTTTTCTTCTTAAGAGAAAGATCTGAGAGGCCAATGGAGCAAAAGTCTCCATTGGTTATCTCATTGTTTAGGAGAAAACAGTTCATTTCAGGTCAGATATGAAATCTCATTTGTGATATTTCCTATGGGTCATTTCATTACATTTGTTCCAGTGGGTTTCTATGTTTACTTGTGTCAGCAGTTGCATGTTTGTACGCGAGCAGTGGTTGAATGTGAGGTGAGATTTCGGTCAAGGTTTCCGAATTGTGGCTCAATCTCCAACCACATTCAGCCGGTGTGGTTTTCCTAATGAGGGCAATCCAGACAGCAACGGCTTCTTTGTCCATATGCCCTGCTCCGTTATTTATCATTATATGTCGTCTCTTTCACTTTGTTTTGCGTTCAAACAAAGAATCTCTGTCTTGCTGTCTGATCAAAATGTACGATGTCCAGCCAAACCACACTTCATCCCAGAGTGTAACCAAAGTGCTGTTCCCTTTCCTTTATGCAGCATTTCTCTCTCTCTGCAGACTAAGTCTCAAGTGTAACCATGTTACATCATCCTTTTCCATCCAAACAGTCAGAAAGGATGTGCAAGAACGTCTTTTACTGTCCGACTTCCTTCCATGTTAAATATGTGTGTTTTGTGTTATTCCCTCCAGTTCTGTATTCAGAGGTTCTGCCGTCTGTGTTTACAACATGGCCGACATCCTGACGGTCTTCAACGGACCGTTTGCGCACAGGGAAGGGCCCAACTTCCAGTGGGTGGCTTTCCAGGGCCGGATCCCTTACCCACGACCGGGAACTGTGAGTCACACGCATTAATGTCCTGCCTTGGTACAGTCACTCGGTTTATAACATCATTAAACAGAGTCAAAGTTTGTGTTTTACACAGTTTAGATTAAAAGGCAAATCATTATGGGTGAGAAATAATAATAATAATCAACATCTTATTTTCAGTTGAGTTTATACAGTTTAGTTAAAAAGGCAAATAATTATGGGTAAAAAAAAATATCAATATCTTGTTTTCAGTTAAGTTTTATATATGTATATATATATTAGTGCTGTCAAATCGATTAATTGTGATTAAAAGCATCTAACAAAAGTCTTTGTTCATATAAAATGTAAGTGTATATATAGTATGTTATATATTAGGGCTGCAATGTATAGTTTTAGCATCGCAATGTGAGCATGATTAATTCTTTCAAATAGAGCTATTCAAGTCATCTGGTGAAATTGTTTTCATATCGCAATATGTATTGCAGAAAAACAAAATTGCGCAATGTCATTTTTTCCAATATCGTGCAGCCCTATTGTATATAGGTTATATAGACATATGTCTATGTCCACTATAATGTTAAAGGAACACAAACACCCACCCCCACTTAAAACCTTAAATTAATAGTACTTTGGAATTTTATAACATTACGTGCATGTAGACGAAGACTCGCTCACATTAGTTTGAGTCTGTTTGATGAAAAGACCCAATTAAAGTGACAGCTTCACTGAATAAAGCAGTTTTAAGCTTCAGCATGATCACCTAATCTTCTCATGTTTATCCTTTCCCTGTCAGTGTCCTGGTGGCGCATTCACCCCTCACATCCAGAGTACTAAAGAGTTTCCAGATGATGTGGTGACGTTCGCGAGGAATCACCCTATCATGTTTAACCCCATTTACCCGGTCGGCAGGAAACCTCTGGTGGTGCGGACGCATGCCGATTACAAATACACCTCTATAGCCGTGGACCAGGTCACCGCTGCAGACGGACACTACCAGGTTCTATTCCTGGGCACAGGTAAAGCCCCACACCACCACACATCTCAAGACAAATTAATGACCATGCTAGAACAATCACCTACTCAGAATTAAAACCACCAGATGAATTTTTTTTAGAATGCGTCACAATTTTTTTCTACAGCCACCTCAGATCATGTAGTGTTGCCACTAATGACTAATTTTCTAACGACTAATCTTTCGACTAATTTTTCGATTAGTCGACTAATCTAAACGACTAATTTAAAAAAATCAAGTGTTTATTTCGTTGTGTCCATTTTATTTTGAACTCAACTGAAGGGCCAAAACATAAAATGTCACCTGTTCAAAAACATTATGTATTAACAATCTAAGCATTAAGTATCTGCATTTCCATTAGGCTATTCCATATTAGTCAGAGTCCTAATCTAATTCTCTAATAACAAACATGTATGTATTACTTAAATTAGCTCTTTGTTCTGCCTTAAAAAATGTACAGTAAGCTAATAATGATTAATTTATGTACATTTCTGAAAAGCATAACTGATAACATCACTCTGAATAGTAAAGTAGATGCAATGCATTTTCTGTGAAAAGCGCTATACAAATAAATTGGAATTGAATTGAAAGAGTCTGGACTAGCCCACTATGAGTCGCGCTGAAAGCAGGCAGGCACGCAGTTATGTAGCTCGCGTTTACACTTGCGTGCATGGCGGGCCCGTGCGTGAATGTGAAAGCAACCGACTCGGGAGCGCTTGTTCAGGAAGTTAAGTAACCTGCCCATGCGTTTTAGCTGATTATGATGCATTTAGTTAAATAAAACACATGTAAGGGATGATAGTGTTGATGATTTACCTTGGAGTCTGCAGTGTATTCGCGCATTGCGCGTGCAATCAGGGCAACACATTTGGAAATCCACTGTCTCCTCAAAAGAGTCCGTTTGAAAAACACAATATATTGACCCGCGTTCTGTTTTCTATCATGCGCCGTGCACGTTTGCGATGGCATAAGATGCACGCAAACTCAACAGGGTTCGGTAGAATTGAGTGTGAAACCAGACCAACGCTGCGGGGGGCGCCGGGAACAATCGCGCTCGCGCTCGGACTCGGACCGCAGCAAACGAGCCCACTGTGAAAGCTCCGTCACCTGCCTCCGCAATTTTTCATATCAAAGCAGTGAAGGCGGGCGGGAACGTGAAGGAAAATGATAGCAGATAATCCAGCAGGGCGCGCACGGCGCACAGACTGGTGTGTGGAGGTGAATTACAGTGAGCCGTTTGTGACGGGAGACCAAAAATAAATAGCGGTCAATAGTAAAACGACACGTCGACTAAAAAAATTGCCGTCGACTAATTTGCATGGTCGATTGCGTCGACTAAGTCGACTAATCGCGGCAGCACTAATCATATGTTCGTGGAAGGAACTAGCACACTTAACTTTTCCCAACTAAAATGACAAAGACAGAAAAGTTGTCTTTTACTGACTGATGTTTTACTTGAAATGATTTGTCTGTATTTACTATACTTTAAAATTATACTGTACTTTAATAAATTATGAAATAAGCACACATTCGAAATGTTGAAATTAACATTAACAAAGATTAATAAATGCTGTAGAAGTGCAGTTCTTTATTAGTTCATGTTAACTATGTAGTCCAATGAACCCTTATTGTAGAGTGTTACTGTTACCACAAAAACATTACATAAGACATTTCTCATATCTTGAACTTTAGAGGCATTTTAACTGCATTTTAATAAGCTTCATCACGCAGTCAGTCCTTGCCCTGCATCATGTTCATAACTAAACTGTACGCAATGTAAGATGACGTACAGGTCTGGGCCGGGGTCGGAGTGCATTAAAGGCGTTAATATTTTTAATGCATTATTTTTTCCATAATTAGTCAAACCAAATAAACCTGTAGCACACATACATACATGCTCATGTGGGTGATGCAGGTTTGAATCTGGCCTACAACATTTCATCATCCCATTCTCCCTATATATTCCCATACTATAAATGTAAAGCATTTGCTCTCAACCAGGGAGCCAGGATGGTTGTGAAGATAACTCACTATGGCCTCAGCAAACTTATAGGGGTTTGGCTTTTCTATTAACTAGTGTTTCCATTTATTTCCAGTTTCTGTTTATAAAAATAAAGATTAAATTACAATTCAATTTAGTTAAAACATTGTTCAGGCATGAATGTGTGTACCACTAACTACCACCAGGGGGCAACAAGTCTACACAAACCTTAAAACCTAATCATTTAACCATAAACATATTATTTGCTATCCATTCAATATTAAGTGGAGGATATTAAGAGTCCTGCTGTGTCACAGGACCAATACATAATATTACCTTTTGGGATGGGTATGCAAGAATGAAAGAGAGTGTGAATGTGTGTTTATCTGAGAACAGAATCAGAGACACGACAGCAGACAGGCTCTGCGGTTACTAGGGAACGGGGATAGGGACATTTGGAGAGACTTCAAAATCACAGCTGTTTGTATTTGCCTATCAAAATTCCTGATGGGAAGCCAGGAGCGTTGTGCGGAGCGGCCTGGCTGCTCCTTGGCATTGTTTCGTCTTGAAATGTTGGCCATTTAAAATGGGAATTTCCAGAGTTTGAGCTAAATTCCTCATCAACCCTCTCTCTGAACGTCTTCAGCGAAATATACACACCTATGATGATCTCACAGAATTAATGTCATTAGCAGCTAGTGACAGCAAACTCATCTCTTAAAACATTTCTACAGCTGAAGAGATCCAATAAATAATTTCCACCAGACAGATGGCAAAAACCCTTTACATTGAAGGAGGGCCACGGGCCATATTTAGAGACTAGAGAGTGGCCTCTTTTGACTTGAACCAGTTCACCTAGAAACCACCCAGAACACTTTGGCAAACTAGTAACATTTTCTTCTGAAGTCTAGAATGCAGATCTGTTTCTCAGAACAGATGCTCAACAACAACATCAAAAACCAACCAGATACACGCAAAAGCTTTCAAAGAGAAAATATGTGAACAATGGAGAGTTCATACGCAGTTCAGACTAAATTCCAGAGGTTGTTTTTGCTTCCCTGACTGTCCAATACTCTTCTGATGTTCTGATATTCCACTCACAGATAAAGGCACGGTACAGAAGGTTGTGGTTCTGCCGTCAAACGGCTCTCTGGATGAGGATCTAATCCTGGAGGAGCTGGAAGTGTTTAAGGTCTGAGTTCTCGCCACACGTCACACATCAAAGTATCTAGAGGGCAGACTGCATGAGCAGAGCTGGCAGTGCCACAAAGCGTTTATTTGAACTCAATGTTGGTCTAAGCGAAGGCACATTTTTATCGGGAACAGAGGCTGGGCTTGAGGTGAGGAAAAGGTTGCATTGTGAGGTTTCTTATGATCTGCTTTGACGGCTTGAAATCGTCAAAATAGGTTTAGGCATCATGATCATCAATTTATGGACCATGAAATGCCACACACGTAGCTCAGTTGATTGTTTAATTTGGCATCTCAACACACGCTCCCATATTTGCACTTGCACATACAAACTCAACGCTGTGATGTTCGTTATTGGATCAATTACAAATAGGCACAGGATGTCCTTTAATGATAAGCAAACGATTTTTAAAAGTCTAGTTTAAACACACATATGAACAGTTCTTAGAAATGTCATTAATGATGCAATGTAACAGAAATAGGGACAGATCTTTTCTTCCGTATTGTGACATACATTCGAGCAAAACGGTTATCGGAAAAAAAAGAGAGTAGGGCGGGTACTGTTGATTGGATGGCGCAGATCTGAATACAAGCTTGCAGTCGATTGTAAGAAACGGGCGGAGTTTAAGCAGACTAAAAGATAGAAGTCTGGCATATGTCACTGGAAAAATTATGATATTTAAATTAAAACTTATTCTTATTTAATAAAAATCCATGAATGAGTTCACATTAAGATCAATAAGATGCATTTAGAAAAATGTATTCAGAAGGAGGCGCGCGGTAATGCAATGCCATTTGCTAACTGCCACAACAGGACACAAGAGCCAGGCCAAAACAAGAGCTGTGTGCCAATTCAAAGGACTCAGACTCGAACTGGGGAGGTCGAACTGAGCATTGCTAAATGTGACTGTATAGCCAGCTGCCGTTGATGAGTGACAGTAACGTTTTTTACTAGACTTTTTTAAAAGTTATTTTAAACTTTCTACTATATTTTAAACTATAATAGTTATTTTAAACTTTATTTGAAATAAAACAGGGTTTTACAAACTGTCTAAATATGCTCACCACGGTCCATTTCTGTAGGCTATATAATAAAGAGTAAAAACTATATATAATCGCATCTTAGTAAAATATGTCAACATTGGAACCACTTTAAAGTTTTTATTTAGAATTTTTACACTTGTATCATTAGATATTTGAGTAATTTGAAACCCAAAAGTTACATTTAAAAGTGTAATTCATCAATTTCTCTCAAAAAATCCTGTCGCTCAATGAATTCTTGGGTCGGCAAGGCCACGAAGGGTCCATCTGTTGTAGGGATGCAAATTATCAATGAATTCATTAATCGTTAGTTGATTGACCTTATTGATCGATTAACTGATAAGCGGCTATTTTCCTGAGAATGTAAATTTCTCACGGTATCAATAGTGTCTTTAACATAAAAAGCAAAATATTGCTAATATACTGAATAAAAATGCATGTTATATTGCTCAATTGATGTTTTATTGTAACAGTTGGGATACGGTACAGATAATGCCATTTATGTAGTTTAACAAAATAAATTATGCACAGAAAATTAAAATACATAAAAAATTATTGTGCACTGGTTTACCTGTTGCATGTGAAACATTAAGCAACATAAAATACATTTTAAATAAAAATCTATATGGGTAGGCTTAGCCTACACTATATTAAGCAACATATAATAATCTAAACTACTTGTATGAAAAACTTGAAACATTAGCAGCAGCACTTATAATCCCCCTTGGTCTGAGAAAGGTAAAAGTAAAATTACTAGACCTGGAAACTTCAAATATAGAACTGAACACAACTTAAATCATCCCTGAGGAAGGTGACAGTAGAATTAGAGGGCAGAGTTTCCCATACGTTCATTTATTTGTGGCGGCCCGACACAATATCAACGCTGATCGCCACACATTGATTTTCGATATATATTTTTTTACTAAGCCTATTTAAAATCGTATTTGATTGCAGAGCGCCGTAGCGCATTCGCGCAGCACTACCTCTCGCGCTGTCACTCACCCGTACCTCTCGCGCTCTCATGGAACACAAATCTGTCCAACACAGCGCTGTTAATGTTTGAGACCCAGCTTTAAAAAAAGTTATTAGCCAGCATGTTAGAATACAGCTGGATTTTTGAGGTTAGCACGCTGTATATAGCTGGTAGTCCACTCCGTTTTGACCGCCTCATGTTTGGTTTCTTTTTTGCCGCCTCAAGTTTGTGTCGGGTCTCTCGCGTGAGAATCTCGTGTCACGTTCGCAATGTTCAATTAGCCAACAATTAATTTAATTTAATCGAGTAAATTCTTGTCGACAATTAATCGATAATCGATTAACCGTTTACATCCCTAATCTGTTGTATCCGTCATTTCACGGGAAATGAAGGACGCATTTGGAGGCCGCACTTGAAGGAGTCTACGAATTGGGACAGCCTTCGTCGTGCCGCAGTGACACAATCGGCCTTTTAATGCGCCCTTCGAAGGATGCAGCCTCTGAATTGGGAGGGCGTTTCTAAATACCAAGTACGTAAAGTTCAGAATTGCGTCCTTGGTAGTTTGGACTTGCCAAGTTCGACTCGGGAGTACAAACTCGAGGATGCAAGTTCGGTGATTCTGCAAATGGTACAGCAGCGGTCATTATAATGTCACTCACCTCGCCTCGCTACTCTGGTTATCTCAGTATGTTTACAATAAAACTAAATATGTACACCACCCTGCCTCTTTTTGTTTTCATTTAAAAAATCTTACATTTATTAATAACCACACAAATGTGGTTCAGGCAACGCGTACATTGATATATTTTTTTTTTTTAATATAAAACACAACCCTGCCTTTTTTCATTTTAAAAATATGTAACATTAATAAGTGGTTCAGGGAATATGTTCATATGTACTCTGATTATTTTCACTGTATGAACATGTATAATAAAATGAAATGACACAACCCTGTCTCTTTTTGTTAAATGATCAATATCCAATATAAAAGTATAAGTATATAAAATATAAGAAGAAGCTATAAGAAATAAAGACAAGCAAACAATTCATTCAAACGTACAAAGTACAACTACGTCAGAGGGGATTAATTGCCGCTAGGTGGAACAAACTGTAATCTGCACTACTGTCTGTTCAAAATAAAAAAATAAAAACCTCAATGCTAGGTTTCTTTTTAAGGAAGAAGAATTTGAGCCTTTAAATGCATCTTTTTTTCCATCTCTTATGAGCTCAGGAGAGTTACATCTTGACATTTTTGTCCACAAATTTTTTTAGAAATTTAAACATGTATATAGATACATTCATAGGAATAGGTATTGTATGCATAAATTGTATTTTCAATGTGTGTTGTTTTTAATAAATGAATATCCTGACAAAAAATCTTCTAAATTCAATGACACTATTCCTTTTCTGATTTTCAGAAGCAGTCTCCTATCACCAACCTAAGAATCTCTTCTAAAAAGGTAACTTTAATTAGTAGCTCTTCTATCTAGCTGGATTTTCTGACTAAGTGCTACATATAGTAAGTGGGGGTGGCAATAAATTGTGGCGGGGGAAATGGTTGCTTTAATTCCGGGTAATTATGGTGTCACCAGTCTTGTGGGTTAAATGAACAGCTTTTGTGATATGTGGCTTGTTTGCGTTACAGCAACAGCTGTATGTTAGCTCTGACCACGGAGTGTCCCAGGTGTCTTTGCACCGCTGCGACGCATACGGCTCTGCCTGTGCAGACTGCTGTTTAGCGCGGGACCCGTACTGCGCCTGGGATGGCCTCAGCTGTTCTCGATTCTACCTCACTGGCAAGAGGTACACAGTCACACATGACACATACGACACACACACACTAACACTCATGGGGGCGCAAATTGCAGCAGCAGTGGAGCAGAAATAAATGTTGAGGACAGTTTTGGTTTCATTTAGTTGTAATGCAGACACACAGTCTGGGCTGACGATTATTTGTGGGATTCGAACAAAACCCTAACCCAACATATTAAAATTAATTTAGACACTATTATATTTTAAAGAGTTCTGGCTTAAGATTTTTCCCTGACAGACGATAAAACATTTAAAAAAACGAAAAACCTGAGACATATCGAGGGACTAGAGATCGACAATAGAGAGATTTGAGGGGGGGTATTTTTGACTTGGGCCGGTAAGTGAACACCTTGTACCACCCTAGCACATAGCAACACAGTAAAAACACTCATGACACTTTGGCAACTGTGTGGCAACACTTCAGAAACCATCCAGTCTTTGGCATTCGGACCCCACACATACAGCCGGTCAATCAAACAGAACAGCCCACATATTGCATATTCACGAGTATTTACATTGTGGATTGTTTCAGAATGGGACATGTTAAAAACTAATCTGATACTTTAGCCAAACAGTTTCTCTTGAAGTCAGATGTGTTGAGTTAGGAAAATATTGATGGAAGGAACACCCATCAAAACATCCTTCCCGAAGTAATGAAGTGGAAAAGACAGACATTTCACTCCACTGCACTTGTGACAGCTGAATCATGTTAATTGTGAGAAATTAAGCTAAAATGTATTTGACTTTCATGACAAGTAGTGTTTTTTAAAGTGAAACGTGTGCAAACATTCAGACAGAGATGTTGATATAAAGTGAGAGAATGTAAGAGTGAAAGGAAAGAATGCATATATAAAATATGTTGGATTAATCCTGTGTAAATGTTATTCCAGGAGAAGCAGAAGGCAGGATATTATGCATGGGAATCCACTGACTCAGTGCAGAGGGTTCAATCTGAAAGGTAATAACTACCTGTATGTCAACACTTGGGCTAAGCAAACAATGTCACAAAGTTATGTGCTGAGATGAGAATTTAGATTCTCAGTAAGCAGTTTCATGACTGACAGACAGTTAATAAAAAAAAAAAAAAAGTTTATTTAAAAGTAATTAGCTATGTTTCCATCGAAAGGTGCACATTTATTTTATGCGCAAAACCGTAATGTCGCATAAAACATTTGCCAATAAAGCGCTGTTTCCATCGCATGTGTTCAGGAGAACAAAATTGTTACTTCCTGGGTAATTGGTGCAAAATATCTGTAATAAAAATGGAGGGTACTGCAATCGGGGAAGTGGCTCTTCTATCTTCGATCATAAATTGCGTCTCAGAGCTAGAAGACGAAACGCAATAAACACTGAAGTTATCTTACGTTCGGATACCTGGTGTTTGTGAACGCAATTGTGTGAGACGCTTCTGTTAACTTTTGCTGTAAAACGTTACTCCCTTTTTGCCCCTAGCAATCTAATTGGGAACGTAACAGAGCCAGAGGTCATTATACCAAATCATTCTGATGACTTTAGCAAAGACATTTCAGTATAACTAAAACAACATTTGAGATGCTGTGCAATGAAACTGATCTGCTGGTTAGTCCAGTTATCCAATCACATCCACTGCCGAGGCAGTCACGTGCCTTTTTTTTTGCGCATCGAGGGACATGCGCATGTCTTCTTGGATAAAAAATTATCCGCCTCAATTGAGCGCATACGTTTATTATGTACATTTTTGGAATTTATGCGCATATTGGCGTTTCTATCAAGCTTTTTTTATACGATATCCCAAAATTCGCATAGAAATAGATGGATTGAAACATGGCTATTGTGAGTTTGTTTCATGTAATTGCAACTTTTTCCTGAAAATGTGACTACCGGTATATGACTACAGAATATTATATATTCTCTATATTTCAAAATTGTGACAATTTCTGTTGAATGCAACTTTATTTGGTTAAACTTGTAATAACTAGTTGAAAACTCATGAAACTTCAACATCATCTTGCAGTGGTTTTAACAGTTGGGACTTGGGGTGCTGTCATATTAACAAAATTTATCTGGCAAAATGTATCTATTTTATTATCAATAGTGTTTCGGTTAGTCAATGCGGTGAATCTGTGGCCAACCTGTTGCGAAATCTGCTTGTGGAAATTTCCACTCGAACGCACAATTCCAGATTGCGTGGATTTTGCAGAACCTGTTACAGAAAATTTGCAGAACAATGTTAAAATTGTACTACACAAATGTATGTTCAGATTGGCAGTGATTGTGCCATATTGTGCTGCATTTTTGCTTCTGAATGAGAGTACGAATTGCTTATTGCTAGAAACTAAATCTCGTCTGGTTAGGACACACAATTAAACATTTAGCAAGAGCATCTAGAGGTGAATCAATCTAGTGACTAAGTATTTTGCTCATCAACAACACAGCCACAAATGGATCCATTTTGGCGTTATGAATGTTGCCATAGAAACTAATCATTTCGAACTGCTCAGAGTACAATCTCCAAGTTGTCATCTTGTAATTATGCTAATTCAAACGTGAACGCAGCCAATGCTAATGCTAACGTGCTCATGCAACAAAGTCATTTTGTGATGTGTTGAGGTATATTCCAATACTAGCATGTCCAATACTATTGCTTCCAAAACTAACTGTTACATGTACATACTACATGTCATTTCCCAATGAAGTGCATACTTTCAGTGCTTATCTTGTGCAAATTCCTCACACATTTCTCTCTCTTCTTCCACCACCCTTGTTTCCTTCTTTCTCTCTCTGTTTGTCTCAGTCTCTCTGTCCTTGTGAAAGAATCTGTCATGGGACCAGATTCAGAACACCTGCTAATTTGAATACAATTGGCACTGATGCTGTCAGTGATCCAGATGACTCAGTTCAACACTTGGATGCATCAGAATTATTAAATATCAGTCTTAACGAAGAGTGAAAGCGTTATCCCAGCTGTGTGCACAAAACAAAAGTAGCATAATGTCAACACAGATGTTGAATGTATGATATCATTGGCCAGTGTACAGGGTCACTTATCCAGTTATACGCTAATCTGGCCCACTACTCAGAGCATATTTCACTGCATCCTAAGTGAACTCAGACCCCATTATGATCTGCAGATGTTAGCGTGTCTGCTGAATAACAGCAGGTCAATTAGTATATTCACTAAGTGTGTGAGAGAATTGGCTAACACTTGATGTCTGGTTTCAGCCTACAGGAATGCAGTGGAGATGACTCAGTATGGAGTCAAAAACAACACCACCTTCTTGGAGTGTCAGCCCAAATCTCCTCAGGCCTCGGTTAAATGGCTCATCCAGAGAGACAACGATCGCAGGAAAGAGGTCAGACAACCCTGTCCAACATTATCCTCAACAGGCGACATACAGTACACAGCTCCAGTGCTTTCAATGAAATATCATCATGTGTTTGTAATCATCCAACAGCCCCATTAGACTGACTGACTCCTAAACTTTAAATGCTTCCTTTGTGCTTGGAGAATAAGAAAATAAAAGGACGCACAGGGATGTTCAAAACATATTTTTCTAACAAACACATCTGACTTACAATAAAGAATGAAGAATAGGGACACACACAAAACAATTTACATTGGGGTGGTTCAGGATTTTGGACATCGGACCTCATTTCCAAGTTAGCCTGGGTGTTATTTATCGGTGGAGACAGTTTTCAAAAATTGTCATCCAGTCCTTCCAGTTGCATAGTTCGCCGGTGCTAGGCTAGCGCGAGTCAACGGTATCTGCTAGCCTGCCATTAAAAACAGTTTTACCCACTCCACAGTACACCAAAAGCAAATAAATTATAACGCCAGACTATCGATGTAAATGTCTGTTGTATAAATATTGTAATATATTTATATTTTATATAATTGTTTTATATAAAATATACATAACTATATAATATATATGAATATAATATAATTTTATTATAAAATAAATTATTGTTATTTATATTAAATAGTTAAAATGTATTATTAAAGCTCCAGTCGGCAAGTCTGGCAGATTGAGTGGATTCAGGAAAATTTTGAATGTTTACAACTCTCATGCCCCTCCCCCACTATCAACGGATACCCTCCCATCCAGTTCATGCTCGTCAGTGCGTGCATGTGCACCAGATTTTCAGTGAACGCCAGGGCTCTCAAGTGTCACGCATTGAGCGTGACAGTCACTCATTTCGGTCTTTTGTCACGCTCTCCTGCCACACATTGTTTTTCTCACGCTGAAAAACTATTTGAAATATATTTAATATGCCGCAGCGCCCAAAACTCTGGCCGCGCCGCTCTCACTGTGGAACCGGCATGAATCAAGCGTGTTTCCTCTGGTGTTGTTCGTCGAGCTACACAATAGCCAATCAGAAAATAGCACTATTGTATCTGGGTAAGATTTAACGCAACAACCAATGACAAAAATGTATCCAACCCCCCGTCGGCTGGGTGTCACTCTTACCTGTCTTCAAAACTTGAGAGCCCTGGAACGCGCCCGTCTCATCAGCATCCATCAACACCATGGAGTATTTGGAGGTATCCTGTCCTGGCTAATCTACCGATAGATTGCAATTGCTAACGTCATTTATACTCTAAATGAGCGTACTTGATTTTCCGCCATCACTCTTCGTTACTGCGCGAACTTCCGCGAACTTCAGGCGTGTGCATGTGATTGTAACGTGCGCGAGGGGTGGCGTGTGCCCGATCTGTGATTGACAGTCAGATCTCACACCCCCCTGCGCTGATTGGACATGATGAACCGGGAGCTGTGGATTTTTGCTAAACAAATAACACGCTCCAGGTGTGTAACGTACGGACAGAGGCGGTCGGATCCATGTGCAGCACTTTATTTAAACTTAAAACCAAGCAGACATAAACTCAAGCAGACAGTTCAAAAAGGGGCAATGAGGAAACTCGTGGTCAAAACAGGCTTAGGTCGAGGCAGGCAGCACAGGTTCAAACAGTCCAGGTAACAGGCAAAGATCAGGAGTCCAGGGAAACACGGAATACTAAAACAAGGAATAATGCTCAGAGATGCACGCTTACAGTGTAACAAGACTTCGCAAAGGACGAAGGAGAAACACAGGTTTAAATCAGGAGCTCAATCACCAATAATGAAACACAGCTGAACATAATAAAACATAATGAGTCCATGGGGAAAACATAAAACAAAGTGAGAGTGCCCTCCAGAGGCTCTCGAGGGCACTACAACTGCTGATCGTCACAAGGTGGAGTTAGAAGCTCGGGTTTTTTTCTAAAACCACTTTATTTATGTTGTTCTGTCAGATTATAGTGTCGATTTCACTGAATATGATCAAAAAAATGTTGCCGACGGCAGCTTTAACTAAATTATTGCATAAAATAATTCAAACATTATTATAATATTTTAATATAATATCAATTTAATTATATTATAACAGTATTATTTTAAAATAAATTCATTATATGACGACATTATTTTAAGTTATTAGAAATTATGCTATTATAATATGGTGAACAAATTAATATTAACTGTGAATGTATATAACTCATAAAAAAAAAAATTTTATATAAATAAATTATATTATTAATGTTTTATATAAATGTATATAAAATGTATTAAATAATTAAATAAACATTAATATTTTAATATAATATTACTTTTTTAATTATATTACTATAATAGCATTCTTTTCAATATACTCATTATACATTATTCTAAAAGTATTAATTAAAGAAAAAAAGTACAATGACTGTTTTCAGGACCATTTAACCTTTTTGAATCATGTCCATGATTTGTTGTTTACGATTCCAATGAAGTAAAAAATTATATATATATATATATATATATATATATATATATATATATATATAAAGTCAAAAATGACAGAAAAACGCCAGAGGGTTAAGCATGTATAAGCAAAATAGTATATAAGCAGATATTTTATACATTTTGAGAATCAATGTATTATGTTTTTATTCTTTTTTTAAAGTACTTTAGTATTTGCTAAGCATTTAAAAACCATGCGTTACCAGTAATTCTTTTCTTTGTGTGCAGGTGAAGCTGAGCGATCGTGTGGTGTCCACCAATCACGGTTTGCTCATCCGTTCGGTGCATTCTTCAGACCAGGGCCTGTACTACTGTCTGGCAACAGAGAATGGCTTCAAGCGCACTCTGGCTAAGATCCGTCTCCAGGTTCTGAGCGAGGCTCTGGTCAGCGCCCTGAGCAATAAACAGCAGTCACCCTGGAGCTGGGCAGCCGCACTGCACCCTAAAGCCCTGGTGTCGGCCTTCAGCCCGGCTGAGACGCTGGCCATGCACCAATACTGCAAGGAACGCAAGCAGATGCAGAGTCTGCAGAACATACAGAGCCCCATGAGAGGCGATCTGGGCAAACTCAAACCCCTGCTGGACCACAGGAAGAGCAGGAACCGCCGGAACCACTTACTAGAGGAATAGAGGTGGAACATAGTGGAAGGAGATGGATGTAGAGATGATGAAAAGGAATAAAGACATGCATCAGGAGAGAACGCGCGTGGAAAATAGAGGAGGAGAATGTTGGAGAAGACTCCTCCGATATGAACCTTAACTGTTTTTTTTTCTTCAAGCTCAAAGCATCTCAGGTGCTTCCTGTACAGCAGAGGAACGGCCAGAGCAGAAGACTATGAGAAATCCTCAGACACACACACATGCTAATCTGTGTTTCATGCTACATAATGCAAGATGCCATATGTCATACAGTAGTGCAGAACAAACCAGAAAGTAACGCAAAGTCATTTAAGACCCAGCAAAATGGTTTGACAAGCACATTTTGTTCTTGTGTTGATGTATTTTCTTTTGATACGGGAAGTCGGGGTGGAACATATCTAACGGCTCATCCTTTTTAATAGCCAATAGTCTTTAGTTTACGTCACAGCAATGAACCGTTATTTGCTTTTTGCTAATGCTAGCCAAAGGCAGGGGGTACCAACTACAGGGACATTCTCATTCTAAAGAGCATTTGATTGGACAAAATGTAGCATATGCTCCTGAGTTCAAGATGAGTCATTAATATCTTTGGTTTATTTACCTGAAGAGAAAGACTGTAAATTTTAAATGTGCATATGTGTTAAAGGTTTATGTTGTCAAATTTCAGGAGTACAGTAGCTTTAGCATTAGTCTCAAAGCTAACAGACATGGACTAAAACGAAAAAGAAAAAAAATCAGTTTTGTTTTCCAGTACTACATATCGAATAACATTTTTATCAGATATGGATCATGAGAGTATGTTGTGTAAACTAGCACTAGCATTAGTCTCTAAGCCAACAGAAACTGACTAAAAGCCACAACATTTCGATTCGGATTGCTAGGTACATATATTTGCTAAAAGTTGTCAACATTTGGAAGCACATAAACATTAGCTTCAAAGCTAAATAAATGGATTAGAAGCATCAGAATTTCATGAGAATATTAAAGCAGTTTTGACTTTTAGAGAAACACTAACATTAGCATTAGCCTCAACGCTAACAGAAATTGACCTTAGGTCACACAATTTCTTGGTACATCTTCTTGGCACTTTCTCAAGTACTTACTCATCTCAAGTAAAGTATAAAAGCTTGTTTTCTAACAAATTAATTGTTTATTGTGACTGAATGGATCATGAGAATTCTTCTTGGACGCACTGACCAAAGTACATCAGCCCAGCTGCACCACAGATGTTCAATAAGGGAAGAGAAGATGGTTTGGAGACATTTCAAACTGTACCAGACAGGTGGCTCTCTGAGCCCATAAAACTTTAAAGAGTGTTGTATGTTTGCCCAGTGTGCTTTGAGAAACATCAATAATCCAAATACATAACTGCTTCCTTATGGATAGTTCAACCCCCCGACAGTTTCATCATCATTTACTCACCCTCATGACCTTCCAAACACGCAGGACTTTAAGGAGCTTAACAGTCACTGGTCATGCTTTCATTGCATGGAAAAGAGCAGTGTGAACATTCTTCAAAATACCTTCATTTGTCTTTCCTGAAAGAAAGAAACAATGACATAAGAGTAAATTAAGACTTTGGGTGAACTATTGGTTTAAAATGTGAGTGTATGTGCACGTTTTCCTCTTTTATTAATATGGTATACCGAACCACAATAAATCAGTTAAAGGCCCGTTTACACCAAGGACAATAACTATAATGATAACAATATAGATATAGTTTTAATTTTAGTTGATGAAAGATAAAAACATTGACAGCCAATCAGAATCCATCCGGCTTTAAAGAGCTTGAGCATTTAAAGTGGCAGACGACAAAACAAAACGTTACCGTCTGTTGGTGTGGACGCTAATATAGTTATTCTACAGTAGTTATCTTTATAGTTATGCTTGGTGTGAATAGGCCTTAAAGCAGATTTTTTTTTTTGTAAGATAGATTTACTCAAGCCCCAGTAATACCATAGTGTTTAAATCACGTAAGGATAGGCCCAATGAGGCATGTGATCATGCATGTTGTTTCATTGTTATACAGACACATGTTTGATGATGTTGGGAATGAATGATATGTTAATGAATTCTGGTTTGCTCAGTGTGAACAGTGATTGTCTCTCATTTTAGATGATGTATAGCATTGTACAGCTTACAATTTTGGTTTGATGTCTGTGTAACTTATATTTTGTTTTTGTATTTTGAATGTCTGTAAATAGTTTAAAAGCTCTAAAAACATGAGAAACTTGCAATAGATTTCTGTATTGCTATTAGATGCATTTTATTCACATCTATACATTTTTTTCTCGGGAATTTAATTTTTACGCCAAAATTGGGATGTGTTTGACTTAATCTGCATTTCGCAGAAGTTTCATGTTTTTGTTTTTTGCTGTGGCATTTTGTGCCCTCTATAAGGCATTTGGAGTAACGATATAATAACGTTTTAATATTATAGAAATATGCTGTATTCCCTGTGAATGTTAATGATAATTTTATTTTATTAAATGTCTTGATTCGTGTATTCCTATTTATTAATAATATTGAACAATTAAACATCTTCAACATGTCATGTTTTAGGACTCTTTACAATAGAATCAGAGAATTCCTTTAATATATTTGTAGTACACATATTTACATCCAATTATGACTTTAACAGTCAAAATAAGTTGTTGAAGTTATGAGTAGCTACAATAATGGAACAAGAAAACCAACTTCACAGAGCAGCAGAATAACGTTACGTTTATCAAGTGTTGTGTTTGCGTGCATAATACGGTTATGTTGTTCATACTGAATTTTTGTGACAACCGAATTTTACTCGAACCCATATTCTTAAATCTCCAGGACTTTTCTGTTCGGTTTATGTTATGTGAACATAACCGTGCTGGACAGTTGTCTGTCACGTAACGTTGAAAGCGCCATGGTCTCGTAACTTAAGTGTTGAGTTTTCATGTGTATTTTTGGTAACTTACAGAGTTTTAGATCCAGTCATCTTCCACCGGAGCTGCTCCAGTCAGTTTATGGTCATCTTCACTCAGGTATTACATTTGCTGTCGGTTAATTAGACTGCAATTGTACAATTGACTGATAAACTCGCGCCATAGCCTACCGGTTACAGGTGACGTTCAGAGTTATCGCGAGATTAGAAAACATCGGACAGTTTAAGAGTCGCAGCTGTTATAAAATGCAAAAACGTAGCCAATATCGACTTCGATAGCCATACAATTTACAATGTTACATACCGTACTTTACCTTTTCTGCACCATTTAGACAGCGGACATACTTGACTACACTGTAAAAACATATTTTCATGATTTATCACAAAAAAAAAAATATTTTGTTCATTGTATTAACTCAAATTTTTAATTTCAAGGAACTCAGAATTTTAAGGCAACCATCTTACTTTAAATTAAACCAACAATATTTTTGTGTAATAGATCTGTATATTATTATTAAATAGTTTATTACAGTATATAGGCCTAGTTAATCGTATATAAATTATATAACATATGTCCCTGATCTTAATAGTCTGCTTTGACTGCTTTACAATATTACAATATTATAATCATATATAGCCTATTTTATAAAAATAACATTAAAAGTAATTTTTCCTAATGGCCTGATTTAACTGCTTTACAATAATGATGACAGATAAATGGACGATATCTTAACATTATAACACTAAAATGTATTGTTTTAAATGCTACAAGTGAATTTAGGTACCACAGCTTTATAATGGACAGCATGAAAATGAATACGCAATTTATTTTGAGATTTGCTAAAGATTACGTTTAACGCTGTTATTAAATTATTAGTGTTTTTAAAGATCGCTTTTGGGTGAGCATTAGATGGTGCATGGACGTAAAAACAGGGTAAATGAGTATATACTATTACCAACAAATACCAACCAATTATCAATATGGTTCCGATGTACTGTGTATATAATGCATTTTATATGGCCTCATATAACTCGAGAAGTTATCAGAATGTTATTATTTTTTAACGATTATGCACATTATTATGTTAGTATGAACATTTGTCTCCAAGCTTGTATTCCAAAGTATAAACCTACATGCTGTTCGCTCTGGCCTTTACCAGTTCAATGACCAGTGGCGCTTCATAATTCATAAAGCAGAGAGTGGTGCTCCCAGCTTCCAGCTTTTAATATTAAACAAGCCCCTGTGTCCCACTCAACCACAGGACTCTTATTCTACAAATCCTCCCATTTCGATTTAGCAGCCATTGGAGAGTGGAAAATAAATCGTATGGATTTACAGGGTATAACGGAGAAATCTGTTCCAGAATTTCTTCTGTTTCTCTGTTCTTCAGCCTGGTGGTTGTTCTTACGCATGAGAAGCTAGAACTTGATTTGAGACATGTATAAAGCAACAACTATGCAAATAGTACAGAAAGGAATTACAGAAAAAAAAAAAACAATGAGGCCAAGTTTCACAGTTCTTTGTTTTACTGAAATTCTGCTGACATACAAAACTATTTCAAATTTAAATCAACCACAGTATGACCACATAATGGCAGAATATTTTACCCTGATAACTATTGAAAGTATGACTTGATACAATATCAAGCAAATACAAAGTAAATAATTTTGCTCCTCAAAATTGCAGAGTATATAAATGATATAAATAGAATTGCGATACTCTGAGCTCAAATAACAATTACAATATACAATTCCCCCAAAGGGTGCTATCAAAAATCAAAAGACACAAAGCACCAAGCATCCCTCCCTGTTTATGCAATCAAACTAAGTTTATTTTTCTTGTTGCACACCACTATCAATCCGATCATACAGCTGACAAATATGATGGAGCCGACCGCTATAAATCCGATCTGAAGCCCCTCCAGCAGGTCGATTCGAGAAATCAGCTCTTTCTTGAACATGTCGGCCGTCTCATCGTCCAGGACTGCAGTCTAACACAAATAAGAGACAAAAATCTTATTGTCAGCAGCGAGGCGGCACCTAATCCTGCTCTGATGAGACAATCAGATGGTCCAGAGGTCAGCCATGTGTGGGATTTCAGAAATTACTCCGTTGGTCCCAATGGGTCTAAAGTACTTAGTGGAGATAATGGATCTAGAGAGGGCTTATTCTATCTAAATGCTATATTCATAACCCACAGCGTACAATCACGCACTATACATATCACATTTGCATATATTATAAACTTTTGCCTGTTATTATATATAAAAATATTTAAATATGATTTTACTGACTTGGGTCAATGGTTGAACCTAAGCAATTTAGTTGGACCTGAATGCTTTATTTGGCCTAAATGCTTTGATTCAACCTTATACTGTATGTGCATAAATGCCTTGGTTGGACCTAAATGCTTTAATTCAACCTGTTTTATATGAGCTTAAATGCTTTAATTGGATCTATATGCTTTAATTCTACCTAAATATTTTATATAATCCTAAATGATTTAGTTGGGCCTAAATGGTTTAATTCAATCTAAATGTTTTTTTTATGTTTTAATTAATGCCATATACAAGAAAAATACAATGATAAATATTTGAATAAAAAATAAATACAAATAAATTATATATATATATATATATATATATATATACACTACCATTCAAAAGTTTGGGGTCGGTACGATTTTAAATACTTTTAAAAGAATTCTCTTCTGCTAACCATGGCTGCGCTTATTTGATTAAAAATACAACAAAAATCAGTTATAGTATTAAATATTATTCCAGTGTAAATCAGCTGTTTTCTGTGTGAATATATAGTAAAGTGTAATTTATTCCTGTGATCAAAGCTGAATTTTCAGCATCACCAGTGTCAGTGTCTTCAGTGTCAAATGATCCTTCACAAATCAGTATAATATGAGGATTTGATGCTCAAGAAACATTTATTATTATTATCAATGTTGAAACAGTTGTTGGTCTGTCAGTTGTACAGTTTTTTTGTTTTGTTTTTAGGATTCTTTGATGAATAGGAAGTTCAAAAGAACAGCATTTGTTTGAAATAGAATCTTTTGTAACATTATAAATGTCTTTACTGTCACTTTCGATCAAATTAAGTGTTGATTTCTTTCCTCCAAAAAATAAAAATAAATTTCTCACTGACCCCAAACTTTTAAACGGTAGTGAGTATATATATATATATATATATATATATATATACACACACACACACAGTATATATACACAGAGTATATACATATACAATACAATCCATCATTCAATAAATTTTGCCTGTACATAAATTAATCTTAATGTTATGCCATCGCAGATTAAAATCCATAAATCAAAATATTTATTGCATTGATGAAGAAAAGGCTCAGCAGCACCCAAGTCTCTATCGCCTGTTGCCTCAATGGTGTACACTAGTGTGTTTGGATTGCGGATTGCCAGCAACAGCCATTTTAGGATTGTTTGTGATTTGGTCCTAGTGACAAGCTGGTTTTAGCGCTAAATTACTTTAGCGAAATACTCTTAAAGCAAAAATTCAGGAGTCCTAAAATTAGGACTGACACGCCCATTATTTTTAAGAGTTTCTACTAAATCAGGAAGATAGGAGCTACTTTTAGCCTTAAGATGTTTTGTGAACATGGCCCCTGGTTTCTTTATTAGACTCCTAGCTGGATTTAACCACTTTAAATAGATGCTTCCTTAGCACTCACCTCATTCACCCACAAAATAGGGAAAACTGTGTGGTCTGTGATTTTGTTCAAAATTCTGTGAGAAAAAAACACACACAAGACTAATCGTGTTAGGCCAGGCATTTATGAATTTTAGCAAAGCGCACAGACATTCATGACAACGTGTGATGTCTGTTTACATACACAATATCATCCGATGGGCCGTACAGCATGTTGAGCTGAAGCCTTTTTGCAAATCTCAGAGTGAAACCTGTAATCTACAAATGACACAAGATGCATTAACCATTATATTATCATATCATGCCCAAGCTTCCTGCTTTTATAGAAAGAAAGTGAAATGAGCTCCTCACCGGTTCCACGTCCAAAAATATGGAGTGCTCATCAGGGTTTGGACTCAGTCCGATCACTGACTGGACGAGATGATTGGAGCCATAGAGGAAGTGGGGTAGAGAGAGGAATACTGGGGCTCCTGTGGGCAAATTCACAAATGAAATTGTGAAGGACTAATGCATTTAATACATTTTAGTCTCAACTGACTTTATAAGAGGCTCAAAGCACTGACCTTTACACGCAGTGAGGTCGAGAAGTCCTGCTGTAGTGCAGTTTTTGGTGATCACCGGGTCTGTACAGTAGCACATGTTATCTGGGTTGGTCATTGGAGAGGCCAGAGCTTCAGCAGGCAACTTGTACCGATACACATCAATTCCCTTCAGATCCACAGTGCTCGCATATACAGCAGATATTGACCTAGAAGACAAGCATAATATTTATTGCAAAGGGGCAAGGTGTGCTTCATCACATTAATTCATTAATTAATGATATGTCCACTATCATAGTGTTTGACAAAGTGTCCAAATACTTTTTGTCTTCATTTTAAACATTTGAATGTATATCATTTGTTTTATAATTGATATAATACACAAAACTTTGGGGTCGGTAAGATTGAATGTTTTTGAACGAAGTCTCTTATGCTGACCAAGGCTAATTTAATTGTTTAGGAATACAGTAAAACAGTAATCTTGTGAAATATTAGTACAATTTTAAATGTTTTCTATGTGAATATTAAAATATAATGTACCGGTAATTCCTTTGATCAAAGCTGAATTTTCAGCATCATTACTCCAGTCTTCAGTGTAACATTATCCTTCAGAAATCAATATAATATGCTGATTTGGTGCTTAAGAAACATTTCTTCTTATTATTAATGTTGAAAACTATTCCACTGATTTATAGTTTTGTGGAAACCATAGTTAATTTTTTTCTTTTCTTTTTTTAAATTTTGTATTAATAGAAAGTTCAAAATAACAGCATTTACTGTCGCTTTTGATCAATTTAATGCATCCTTGCTGAATAAAAGTATTAATTTCTTACTGACCCCAAACTTTTAAGCAATAGTGTATATGAATGGATATGAATAATTTTTTTCATTATATTACATTCATATTTTTGTGACATATTTTGCTTTGATCAAGTGTGCTATATATTTGAAAATAAGTGCCATTTAATTTAATATTTTGTGTATATACTATATATATATATATATATATATATATATATATATATATATATATATATATATATATGTGCAATAACTGCATGTATAACTGTATGTACTGTATGTATATGCAATAACATTTTTAAGTGTGTTGTAAGTGTATAAGTGTCTTAATGCTTTTTTAGCTATTGTGTATGCATGAATGAAAACATGGAAATTTCAGAAGCCTTAACATGTGGTCTCTAATACATATTTAACACTTATCATGTGACTAAAAGAAAAAAGACACTGTCTAGCTTTGATCTCCTCCAGTCACAGATGATGTATTATGATGAAAGTGAAGGATTGTTGGCATTGCTAGAATCTTTTCTGACATCTCTGACCCTGCAGAAGAAAAGGAGTGACCTCTGGTGGTAATGACAAACAAAAGAGTGGACGCATGAAACCTCCACTTGGATTCATTACATCTTATCAGGATTCCAAATCAAATCTAATCGGATGGGAAGAGATGAAAGTCCATGAACCATCATGGAGGTAACGGGACTTTAATCGATAGATTGCTGATGTGTGACATTTCAAAATACTGTATATAGTAGCCTCATAAAATATGTACATGTACACGTACACGTAATGTATAAATGTCATACACCATGTCAAACTAAATGGCATTTATTGTAAAGAATGCTAGCATAAGCACAGTTTTCAAGCATAACATTTTGAAGTTTGTTAAATGACAAATCAATAGATATACTGTTCAGAAGGACATATTGTGGTTGTCTAACATTAGTAAAAGACACCTCATGTTGTTCAAACAGCTGTTTGCAGATGATTTGGTTTCATATTTTGTTCTATGAGGCAATGACATCATTTATAAGTGTGGTTTAAGTACTTTTTCTACTGAACATAGGGAACGAACTGAAAATACCTGCAGATATCAGGAGAAAAGAAGTATAGATGTTCTTTCTTGTCCAGGAACGGGTGGAAGGAGGAGCCATCTGTTGGCATATGAATGCAAAAGTGAATAACAATTAAATAATGTATGTACAATTGTAAAAGAAATCTCAGAATAAATTGTGACTTGGAAGTGCTGAAGGCCCTATAATTAGATAATAAACAGATGCAAAACTTTGAGCTCTGCACACTATTTCTTTATTGGACACATCTACAACAATTTTAGGCCAACAGCTTTGGGACAGAAGTCATACCATATATTTGAATTCAATATAAATGTAATATATTAGAGGTAAACTTGCCTGTTCCGTTTATCATGTTGCAATAATAGTCATTCCAGTAACTCAGTGATCTGTACAACAGTTTTTTTTTGTTAGTCTGTGTTTTACTAATGTTGGGTTTAATATATGAATGTGATTAATAAAAAATAAAAAAAAATTCAGAAAGACATTTATTGACAATTGGTGAACCACATCTACATTTACGGTCTGGGTCATTTGTCTTCTAGAGAACAACAAACAGTTACAACTCAAAGAATCACATATATGTTCCATGTTGCACATATTCTTCATGCTAATGTAACATACTTACGTTTCACCCATCCAGCGTTCAATCGTGGCTACCTTTTCGATGAAATCTTTGCCTGTGAACACAGTGTATGGTCCATCGGTGGTGTCATTGTACTAAAGGAAAAAACAAAGTACTTTCTCTTGAACATTAAAGCATAAATACCACAACAAATAGGTTAACACCAGCATTTTTAAACTCTGATTTAAAAAACTTCAGAATTAAAAGTTCAAATTGGAGTTTTCTGGCTTTTCAATGCATCTTCGAGGCTATAATATACCATTTGTCAAACCATTTCATGGGGTCTAAAATCATTACATCAGACATTCTTATTCCTGGTATTCTTACAAACATATTTACTTGGTCCAAATTTCCGAATTATTTTACACACTCACAACACAATAAATCTTATGTAATTGCAGTTCCCTTTCGAAAGGTGCCTCAAGCGTGACAGGTCTCTGAAACTGCTATCGAATCACCGCAATCCTATTGACCTGCAACAGCCCATGATGTCATCATCGTGCGACCCGGAAGTATAAAAGGGGCGTCTTGCAAACATGACATTCACCTTTTCGTCTTCAGGGACTGTTCTGTTTGTAAACGCTGAAGAATTACGATAAGAGAAATTTAAAAATGAAACGCACAGGGAGGGCTGATTGTTTCAGAAGTGTGCTGACCTGTGCCCAAGATATTTGACGCCGGGTGACACACATGAACTGTGCGTTTTCTGTCTGGGTGAAGAGCACGCACAGGCGGTTCTTGAGGGAGCCGCCTGTGCAAACTGTGAGCGTTTTTCTTTGAGAATGCTCCGCTCTCGTCTGGGCCTCTTCTCGAGTGAGGAGGGCTCAGCATCTGGACCTCGTGGTTCAGGTCCCGCTCGTGTTGAGGCAGAGCGGCAACTTGCATCATGGGGTTCCCAGAAGGACCTCGCCGATCGCCTTGAGAGGGGTGTAAACCTCTCAGACAATTCGGCGGCTGATGAGGGTGAGATCAGGTAGATCCTGAACCCTCTCAGCCACCCTGCCCCATGTATGCTGAGCTGGTGGATGTTCCATTTAGGGGAGAGTCCGTTCACGGCCGGCTTGACGATCGGTTTCTCCCCGGCCATAGACCACCAGCTCAGGCGAGCCTTCCATTCCCTCCTGACCTTCACACGGAGATCGAGAGGGCATGGAAGAACCAATATTCTGCCCGGATCCACCGACATCAATGGGCTAGTTTCGCTGATGTTGAGGGGATCGGAGAGCATGGGTATGTGTCGATGCCGCCTATTGACAAGACGTTTGCGAACTATCTCGTGTCTGGGCGGGCGTCGACAATGAGAGCTCCAACCCTGCCATCCAAACTGCTGAAGACTACAGCACGTTTGAATGGCAGAGCATACACGGCAGCGGGTCAGGCCAGTGCTGCCCAGCTAACCATGACGGTGTTGCAGGCGTACCAGGCCGACCTGCTGGGGGATCTCGACCAGGGGGCAGGGATGTCCCCTGAGGCGGTTGCTGAACTGCGCCGCACCACAGATCTTGCTCTCCGGGCCACTAAACATACTGCCGCTGTATTTAATATTATCCAAGTATCCAATGTAAGTGAGGCCAGGTCAGGCCTTCCTGGTGGCATTTCGGGTGAGTATGTTCCCCTGAATAGTGATTGGCTGGGACTCCTTCGGGTTACCTAGCCACATTCCCTAGAAGGGACCCCTTCTAATTTGAAGCTGTGGTTCCAGGCCCTTGAGCAAGCCCAGGTAGGCATTTCGGTAAACTACTGTGGCGAGGGGGGCGTGGTTCCGCAAGGTCTGTAACGGGAGAGAGAGAAAGGAGACGAGCGGTGCGTAAGTGGGTCAAGTGCAAATGACGAACACCTGTGTCTTGTTTCAGTAATTGGCGTGGAGAGACCGGATATAAGCCGCTGTGTGGTGCGAGACGAGACAGAGAGGAGGACTGAGGACTCGTATGCCTGTGAGAGAGATCGTGCATCGTGAGAAGAGTGATTGTTTATTGTGGGAAGAGTGATCGTCCTGAGGTCCCATCTTGTTGAGCGGCACGTGAGTGGGCTGGGCAGGTTTACTTGCCCGAACCTCCCGGTCAATCCAGCTCCGGAACTGCTCGTGGTCTTCCTGCTGGGCCTGGATGATGGCACTGAACCGTCGCTCCTGGTCATCCCTCATGCCCAGCAGTGCTTCGTGATGTACCTGATGCAGACTCGCGAGCGATTGGATTACATCCGCAAATGGCGTTCCTGGCGGTGATGACTGCATGACGCCAGCGGGCCCTCTTCTTCCTTCTCGGGTTTCGGCACCAGTGTGATGAGGTTGAAGTGTTGGAAGGAAGAAGACAGGGTCGGCGTGACTGGGACTCGTACACGTTTATTCAAATAAACAAAAGTGGTGCACACAGTGCGTTCACTGTAACTCACTACGGCACAAAATAAACAAACAATAAACTCTTTCCACTACATAAGTTCTCTTTCCTCGATCAACGATCACTCTTCCCATGATAAACAATCACTCTTCTCACGATGCACGATCTCTCTCACAGGCATACGAGTTCTCAGTCCTCCTCTCTGTCTCGTCTCGCACTCCACAGCGGCTTATATCCGGTCTCTCCACGCCAATTACTGCAACAAGACACAGGTCTGCACCGCTCGTCTCCTTTCTCTCTCTCCCGTAACAGACCTCGCGGAACCACGCCCCCCTCGCCACAACTACGTTTATGGAGGTTTTCCTGTGAGGCTTGTAGCTTGGGCTATGACCGTAGGTAATGCGGTCACTGACAGCCCAGTGTGAGGTGAGTGGTTCTATTTCATTTCATTTGAATTAGCTGGTTCTGACAGTTGTCACTGCCAAAGCATGCACTCCCCTTAGCATGGTCACGTTGGTATATCGTTCCCCAATGTGTTTCGAAGCAGTGTCTCGTTCCCTTTCGAAAGGGAACGTCTTGGTTACGACTGTAACCTCTGTTCCCTGAGAACAGGGAACGAGACACTGCGTCTCCTTGCCATGCCTCGGGGCCTGCCTACCAAACAGTCCCTTGAGATGATAAGGTGAATGTCATGTTTGCAAGGCGCCCCTTTTATACTTCCGGGTCGCACGATGATGACATCATGGGCTGTCGCAGGTCAATAGGACTGCCGTGATTCGATAGCAGTTTCATATACCTGTCACGCCTGAGGCGTTCCCCAATGTGTTTCGACGCAGTGCGAGTTCACATTCGCAAGGGAACTGCAATTACATAAGATTTATTGTGTTGTGAATGTGTAAAATCATTTTCAAATTTGGACATTACCAAGTAAATATGTATGTAAGAATACCAAGAATGTAATGATTAAAGACCTCACGCCTGAGGCGTTCCTCAATGCGTTTCGACACAGTGTCTCGTTCCCTGTTTTCAGGGAACAGAGGTTACAGTCGTAACCTAGACGTTTTTATATACTTATGTAAACTTTATCAATCACTGGGGCTATAAAGGTGATTTATTAGCAAGTTAATGCCTTGCTAACAAAGTGTTGTCATCCTTACTGGATAGAAAACTCCCATCATGGTGTTCAGCATTGGGTCTTTGTAGCCCCACAACAACTCCTTAACAGTCCTGTTCTGGAAAAGTTTGGAATTGGAGCTTTGGATAAACAAATTTGCCAATTTATGATCAAGTAAACTGTAGACACCCTGGAAGAGAAGAAAATAAAGACTGATCAAGTATGGAATCATAAATTCATCTGCATAATAAAACCTTGAAATCAACAACTGTATTTAACCTCAAGCAAAGTTTATTTGCATTTATTACTTGTAAAGCACTTTTATCTGACTGAACGTCACCTGTAATTATAAATATAAGCTATAACAGTGAATATGGGATTGATGATTATACAACTTTGTTAGTTATGCATTAACATACAGAGTCAAGTGCTGTGCTGCCTTTGGACAGATAATTGCAGATATCAACATTTTATCTTTTGATTTGGCAAACAATGACTGACTTGCTTTAGAATTGACAACCAATGCTGAACAGTCAAATCTATATGAAGGGTCATGAGTGAAAAGAGTTAAAGATTAATATAACATATTTTATATATATGTTTATATCTATATATCGATAGATATAAAATGTAAATTCATGTCCCTGTTATAATTAATGTAGTCACATATTTATGGTTAAATAAACATTACATATAAAAGAGACACCAAATACAATTCTATTTTGTATTTTTATATTAACTAAGAAAACATGCAATTAATGTTATATTCATTAAGTATAAATCTCATCAAGTTAATTTAAGCATTTTTACATTTATTCCAAAATAATAACTAAAAGCACAATTTAAACCATGTATTTTATCTGTGAACTGATGTTCAGCTTTTTTAATAATGAACTTATTTTCATCAATTATGATGCTCTGTAAACCCCATTTCAGACATCGTGTTTTCAGTCCATTGATTTTGACATGAAAAAGCGGTGATATCTAAATGGTTGAGTTGTTTTCTTACTTTTTAATTAGTCTTCCCATTAAACTGCATCATTTTTTTCATTCAGACTGATTCGCGAAGAGACTGGATTTATCGCAAGAACCAATCATATCCAACCATAACCAATCATATCCAACCATAACCCAGTGTTTACCCTAGGATTTTTTTTTTTGGGGGGGAGCGGGCGTGTTATGGATACGTGGTGTACAATTTTTAGTAATCCAAATGCATGTCTAATTAATTGAAATCATGAAACGTATTCAAATATTAAACTTCTCAAATTAAACTTATTAAAATTATTTAAATTCTATGAATTTTTTTTTTCACACAAATTCGGTGTTGTATTTTTTCTGTTAATCAAATGAAGACATAAAACATTAATTTAATTTATTTTAAAATGAGATTAAACAAACTTTTTGTCAAACACCGTGCTGCGCAATGAGCTTTACTGTTCAAATTAAAACATGGAAGAAAATGTTTGATTATTCCTTTAAAAAAAAAAATTTAATGATAATTTATTTGTATTAGTGTTAGTATTATTATTACATTGAGACAAATCTAAATTCTATAACAGTAATATATTTCTGTCAAGTTAAACCGAACTTATATTTTGACGGGTTGCCGTGAAGGCCTTTGAGTTTCTGTGTTTATGACATGATGTTAGTTTTTCTCAAATGAAGCGGTTGCCTTCTAAGTCGAAGCCGGATCTGAGGACCGTTCTTCAGGCTAAGAAGGCTTTGGCACAAAAGAAAAGGTCCTGACGCCAGTGACCTGTGAGGGCAGCCCCAACCGGGGTGGAGCGGTCTACACCTCAGAATACGGTGCACGTTCCATCTCGGTGTCCTCACGGGACCGTTCTGCCAACCCCGCCACCCTTGGTGCTTCGGGGCACAGCGGTCTCCAGCGAGCTTTTGGCGCAGTGTCAACTCGACATTGCGTCAGACTCGCACCCTCTGAGGGGGGTTCAAAAACAGTCAGTTCAGGTAGTTCCTGCCGGTATGTTTCAGGCTCCCGAGCTGGCTGTCTCAATAACACCAGAGGCCAGCCTCGAGAGGCTGGTTCCCTTAGTAGATTTTTTGACAGCGTGGAAGCTACTGCCAAATATATCTCGTTGGGTCCTGCAGATAGTAGCGAGAGGAGACAGAATCCAGTTTGGTTCTCGTACTCCATCCTACAACGGGGTGTTGCTCACGTTAGTGCATCCCGAGCAGGCTCTGGTAATGGAGCAAGAGGTAAAGGCCCTGTTAGCGAAGGAAGCTATAGAACAGGTGTACTCACCCGACAGAGAGTCGGGCTTTTACAGCCGTTATTTCATTGTTCCAAAAAAGGATGGAGGGTTGCGTCCCATTTTAGATCTTCGTCTGTTGAATCGTTCAGTACAAAAACTCAAGTTCAAGATGCTAACACTCAAACAGATCGTGACCCAAATAAGATACGAGGACTGGTTTGTCACGATAGATCTGAAAGACGCTTACTTCCATGTCTCCATCCTCGCTCAGCAGAGGAGGTTCCTGAGGTTTTCTTTCGGGGGCAAAGAATACCAGTATCGGGTACTTCCTTTCGGTTTAGCTTTATTACCCCGCACATTCACGAAGTGCGTAGATGCAGCTCTGGCCCTGCTCAGGCTGCAGGGCATACGCATTCTGAATTACATAGACGACTGGCTGATTCTTAGCGGTTCGGCATCGAGGTGTCGTCCTCGCTCATATGCAAATTGAGCCTCAACCCCAACATATGCATATGCATATGTTGGGGTTGAGGCTCAATGCCAAGAAGAGTGTGCTTTCTCCATTACAGAGGACCACTTTCCTTGGTGTGGTCTGGGATTCAGTCACGATGCGAGCCGTTCTATCGCCCGCTCGTGTAGCTGCTATCCTCACAGCCACAAAAGAGCTAAAGCTAGGCCAGTCACGCACTGTGAAACAGTTCGAGAGACTGTTAGGCCTCATGGCAGCAGCGTTCAATGTGATACCCGAGGGGAAACCCACTCCATATGATCAAGATCACGCGGCGGTGCCTCCGCGCCTTGGTTATATGGAGGAAACACTGGTTCTTAACCCAGGGTCCGGTGTTGGGAGCTCTTTGCCATCGAGTTGCTATCTCGACAGATGCTTCCCTCACCGGCCGGGGAGCGGTAATGGAAGGCCGCTCGGCTCAGGGTCTGTGGAGGAGTCATCATCTCTCTTGGCACATAAATTGCCTGGAGATGATGGCTGTCTTCAATGCGTTGAGACATTTCCTCCCAGACCTGAGGGGCCATCATGTGCTTGTCCAGACAGACAACACATCGGTGGTCTCTTATCTGAACCGTCAGGGGTCTGCGTTCGCGTCCGCTTTGCAAACTCGCACACCAGATCCTCCTGTGGTACCTGGGGAAAATACTCTTTCTGAGGGCAGTGTATATTCCAGGGGGCCAGAATATAGGAGCAAACACCCTGTCGAGGCAGGGGCTGAGGCCAGGGGACTGGAGACTCCACCCCGAGGCGGTGGAGCAAATATGGGAGTTTTACGGCCAGGCAGAAGTGGATCTGTTTGCGTCTCAGCATACGACTGCTCTGGTAACCAGTGAAGCTCGGCTAAAACTGGAGTTATGTGCTCAAACTTTTTGGTACCAGTGAGGAGTCTTGCAGCAGCATTCTGAACTAACTGAAGTCTATTTAGATTGTATTTGGTTAGACCTGTGTACAGTGAATTGCAGTAGTCTAAGCGTGAGGTAATAAAAGCATGAATGAGTGTTTTGAAAGCATGAATGATTATGCACTTAAATGGAGAGTTTTTTCTTTGTGGTGTCACCAGCATCAGTGGGATCCAGTTAACTGTTCAGTAAACACAGTACTCGAGTTCTTTTAGCGTTCCTAAGAGCGCTTTACGTCAGGTCTATGCCCTTCCACGCTCAAGGTCTACGTGGTGGCCATTGCGGCTTTCCACGCCCTGGTGGGTGGTACATCGTTGGGTCAAGACCCCCTGATCACACATTTCCTTCTTGGCACATTGAGGCTGAGGCCTGCAACTCGCACTAGGGTGCCAGCTTGGGACCATGCAATAGTTTTAGAAGGCCTCCATTCGAGCCCTTAGATTCGGTTTCAGAAAAATGGCTTACTCCGCAGACCATCTTTCTGCTAGCTATTTCGTTCCTCAAAAGAGTTGGAGGCCCTTTCGGTTTTCCCCACTTGCCTTGAGTTTGCACTGGGGATGGTCAAGGCATTCTTATATCCAAAACAGGGATACGTCCCTAAGGTGCCAACCATGACTCTGAGGTCTGTAGTGCTGCAGGCTTTCTGTCCTCCTCCTTTTACCTCTTCGGACCAGGAAAAGCTGAACCTCTTGTGTCCAGTGCGAGCACTATACACTTATGTTCATCGGACTTCTCCAAAGAGAAATTCCGACCAGCTATTTGTTTGTTTTGGATCACCCAAGAAAGGTCTTCCTGCTTCTAAACAGACGGTTAGTGGATAGTCGAGGCTATTTCACTTGCTTACGAGTACTCTGACCAGCCATGCCCTTTGGCGGTCAGAGCTCACTCTACGAGGGGTATGGCGGCCTCTAAGGCCTTATTATTTGGGGTTTCTCTCCAAGACGATTGTGATGCGGCGGGCTGGTCCTCACCGCTCACATTCGTAAGGTTTTACAGCTTAGACCTGGATGCTGCCCCAGGTTCTCAGGTGCTTAGTGCTTAGCAGACAACAGGCTGACACTCAGGTACTTGAAAGTTTGGCGATTTGGGTATTCTCGTTCCCAAAGCGTCGTCGACGCATCGCGAGTTCCCTCGAAAGGGAACGTCTCAGGTTACGACTGTAACCATAGTCCCCTGAGATAGGGAACGAGACAATCCGTCGCCCTGCCATACTTCCTGCATCTCTCTGATCGGCTTGCTTCGGCAATTTTCTAAACTAATGCCGGTTTGCACCGATGCGCTTTTATCTCTTCCTGGACATGACGTCACCCGCCCATTCTTTCCATTGGACTAGTTGACATAGATGCTTCAGACGCATTCACGCTGGGGGCGTTCCCAAAGCATCGTCAACGCATCGTCTCGTTCCCTATCTCAGGGAACTATGGTTACAGTCGTAACCTGAGACGTTCTGTTTATATATTTTATATAATTTTAATATTACTAATATAATAATAATAATATTATGAAGAAATATTACAATTTAAAAATAGCTGTTTCTTTTTTAATTCATTTAAAAAGTATATATCACTAAAAAAGTAACGGTATATAGTACTTGAGCGAGCTCTTGACATATTATAGTCCATCTCATCTATGTGATCTCAAAATTATGTCCAGTTGATAATACCTATAATATCAAAATCAACTCCAGGCGGTTAGTCCTCTTCCTATTTCGCACATACACTCTGGACCAGTCTTCTAGCCTTGTTCAGGAAGCAGACACACTCTGTCAGTTTAAATCTAAACTATAAACTCTTTAACCTAGCATACACAAAACACATTATCACATTTCTATTATTCACATCCGTTAAAGAATTGCTATGCTGCATAAATTAAGTTAAGCAGAACAAGGAACACTTCCTATAACACCCAATGTACTTGTTATATTGTAAGAAGAAAAGCATCTACGCTAATATTAGTCTCTCTGTTTATCCCGAGGTGACCGTTGTCATATCCAGATCAGATGGTGGACCTGCACCTAGACACAACCACAACACAGCCCTGAATGTCAGCAGAGATCCTGTCAACTAGGCAATCCTCTGGGAAGGCCTCGTCGACACGACAACAATCGCCACAGATCCTCACCAAAGACCACAAGAACCAGACAAGTCCTCTGACAGACTTATGACCTTCTGTACCATTAGCAATCCATTTGTTACTGTATTTGTTCATCTTTGTTAACGTTAGTTCATGTTAGTTCACAGTGCAATGATAGTTAACTAATGTTAACAAGATTTTAATTAAGTATCAGTAAATGTTGAAATTAACATTGACAAAGATTAATAAATGCTGTATATGTGCAGTTTATTATTAGTTCATGTTAACCTTATTATAAAGTGTTACAAAGCACTATATAAATAAAGGTGACTTGACAAAAATGTAATTTATTCTTGATGCAAAGCTGAATTTTCAGCATCATTACTCTAGCAGTCTTCAGTGTCACATGATCCTTCAGAAATCATTCTAATATGTTGAATTGATGCGCAAGAAACCTTTCTTATTATTATCAATAAACAGCCGTGCCACTTAATATATGGAATATATTAATATATGGAAATGTGATAATTTTTTTTAGGAAATTAACAGAAATTAAAAGAAAAGTAATCATTTGTAACATTATAAACATCTTTACTGTCACTTTTAATCATTTGATCATCAGTCTTCTGAACAGTAGTTCACATTGCTACTTTTCAAAACTTTCGGGTCGGTAAGATTTTCGGTAAGATCCCACTTTTCTTTAGGTGTATTTAACAACTATCTATCATTTAAATGAATCATTTGATACAATGCACTTATTTTGTACATATGTTTTTACATTGTACTTATATTATTATAATTACCTGCATGTAATTACAGCTGTAATTAATTTCTGTAATTACATCTATAACTACACTTTTGACCTTTCCCTTACCCCTTAAACCTACCCATACTACCAAACCTGTCTCTAACCACATCCCACCTCAACAGCAGCAAAAGTGTTTTGCAATACATAAAAAAATAAGTACTAAGTAATGTACTTGGTGTGTTTATGTATGTACTGTATAGTAAAGACACCTAATATACCAGATTGTGTATGTCTCAATGTTCACCAAGGCTGCATTTATCTGATAAAAAAAAACAGTAATATTTTGAAATATTATACAAATTTAAATAACAGTTCATATACTTAAAAATATAATTTATTCCTGTGATGGCAAAGCTGAATTCTCAGCAGCCATTACTCCAGTCTTGAGGATTACTCATCACATTAACTTGGCATGGAGAACTAGGGAGGAAAAGAGATGAGGAGGAAGACAGAAGGGCAGAGAGGGATGGCAAGAGATACTTGTTAAAATACATACTGCTACAGCCAGGTTTAGTGATGTGAATATGTCATCCTCTGTCCCTACTGACATGCCAGGCTCAAAGATGGCTCCCGCTGGCAGCACAAATGACACAGTGAAGTTATCATTGAAGGTGATATTTCTTTTGGGGATAAAACGTGTCCTGGAAGACAACAGAGAGGATGAGAGCAAATCAGACCACTAGGAAATACATCATGACCATTTTGTGGCTTAAAATTGCAATAAGCATGCTACTTATGTGGTGTTTTACTGGTCATATTACAGAGTAATGTCATATTTCAAGAATATATAATATCACCACATTATATAACTTTTTTTTTGTATCCTTGGTAATTAAGCCAATTAATGCTTATGTACAATCCATTTAAAATGTATAATGTATGTAAAGGTAATAGAATTAAATAACATTTAAATATGTGAAATATTATTTATATATTAAACAGTACTCACTATACATTGATTAATATACTGCATATAAATATGACACTCCATCCTTATGACATGTACTAAAGTAATATACTTTAGTACATGTCATAAGGATGCAGTGTCATATTTGCCTTAGACTAGACAAGCATCAGATAAACGTATCAACATACAAAGATTAAATGCCAACAGCATGATGAAACTTTTGAACAAGCTTGAAGTGCATTATGTTGATACTGTCTTTTTTTAGCAGTCTTAAGTCTTAGAAGTAGGCAAAAATAGTCTATACTTTTGGCAAAAGTCTGATGTACTGAGATTCTTTCTGTTTATTTCACACTCTTCAAGAGACGGAGATCTAGTCAAGTAAATTTTAAAGAGCAAGGATTTTCTTTAAGAGAAAAATAAGAATGGTTTGTTTACGTGAGTATAGATTGAATATGTATCTATATGGCCACAAGCCTTACTTGTACGTGTACGGTCCTTTCTGCACCAGCACAGGTTTGGCCCCTTGACTTACAACTTCATCTGGGTTCTGAACGTCAAACAGCCAGAACTGCCTGTATATTGCTACGTCAACAGACGTCCAGGTGTCAAATGCTAAAGTCCCGTTTTCCAACACTGTTTCCTTTAAAGACACAAAACACACTAGGTATTTGATACTCTATACATAGCCTATGTTATACATTTTTACACTTAAAAATAGGGGAGAGTGGGGCAGGTTGTCACAATCCAATGAATATTTCTCAACATGAGCTTATTTTCAGTCAATTTCTGTATAGACACACACCTTACAATCTTGGCTATAATGCTACTGAACATTTCTAATGTTTTTGCCTCAGAAGAAAAATACAGCTTATTTAACACACACGATCACTGACCTTGACAATATGAGGCAAGACAAGAACCTGCTGTTTAAATATCTTACATACAACATATATTTTAATTGTATTAGACGTAATTTTAATGGCTTTTCAGCCTATAATTTAAACATTATGACAGTTGACATGATTAATTAAAATTCTAAATCAATAAATTCTTACATATATAGCTATAAAAAAATGCCATTGACCCCAAAACCCCATTTAAAAAAAATATATATATATATATATATATATATATATATATATATATATATATATATATATATATATATAGTACGTTGTACCCAACATGGGCTGTTCCTAAATTAGTTACCAATATTCAGAATATTTCTCCACAGCAACTTCATCATGTAACGTGTCTGTCTGGAGTATCTGCAAACACATGTGCGCCGAATACTGATATGCAAAAACGACGGCTTACCTTGTTGACGGTGTTTTCAATGACCATGTTGCCCACAGGGAAGAGAATCCCTCCCAGCACGGCGATCAGGGCGCCCAGCACGGCCCCTGTGATGAGCGCGCATCTCTGATCACAGCAGGTCATGATGGCGAGCACGAGCAGCAGCCTGGACCAACACTGACCGGCGGCGCGGCAGGTGCGAGCATTAGGTCGCCCAGGGAATTATGTAAATTCCAGGGATCGAAGGTTGTAGTTGCAGCAGATAGAGGACTGGATTGCCGTTTATCACACCCGGAGGAGACCCTCGTTTAGACGGAGTTATCTCCGCGCGATAACGCACTGCTGGGCGGGGAGCGGGCGCGTAACACACGGCATTACAGATGCCAAGGCCAATGTCACTTTCAGTCGAGAGCTGATGTTTACAAATGTTTAGATTCAAAAGTGAAATATCTATATCGACTTCGAAAAGATTCAGATGACTTGGAAGACTCAGAATCAGATTCAGAAAATACAAAAGAAAAGTGTCAAAAGAACAGAAAAACATGTTCCGTTTTAGAATAGCTATAAGAAATGTATATAATATACATTGTATAATAACATGTAGACTAATAGGATTTAAAATGATTAGCTTTTAACTTTTTAAATTTAGATTTTAACTCCCTTTGAACATGAAAGGAACTGAACTGAAGGCTATAATGGATGTTAATAGAACAGAATATTACATTTCGGATAGCCATGCCGATAAAAAAATATATATATAGCCTAGCCTATTTTAAATTTAAAAGACGAATATATAGAATAGAATACAATATAATTTCAGATCACTGAATCCTTGATTCTGATTTGTCAATTGGGATATTTTGGACAGCCATAAAAATAAAATAGCCTAGATATAATATAGAATAGCATAAAATTGAATATCAGACCACTGAATGCCACAATTGACCAATCAAAAGCAAATGAAAAAAAATGTGCAATGACTAAACGTTGCCAGATGAATTCTCGAACATTTAAAAATGCAGGAGCATAAAAACATAGCTCAGATAACTGTCATTTCACAAAGTAAACCAATAAAAAGTTCAAGGACTGTTTTTATTAGTTATTGCTGCGATACATCTCGTATTGCACCTCCCTCTCACACGTGCTTTATATTTCACCGTGTGAAATTTTAGCTTCTACTGTCCTCTAGTGTTCATTGGTCTCACGTTGTCCACACTGCGGGCTTTAGTGTGATTATGTAGCGGACATGACACTGCTGTCGGAGTAGATTAAGACACAAGCTATATATTTGTTGATAGCCTATGGGTTGATGGGTCATTTCAAGGGAACATTTTACTGTAAAATGTGTTGTAAAATGTAAAGCTTGAATTTACTGCAAATTGCTCTGGAAAAAAGAAATAAACTTCTCTGTGCAAAAGAAATTTGGATGAAGTTGTATTTTCTCGTACACATTTCATTTGAGCTTTATGCGACTGTTTACAAATGAAAGAGGCGAATCATTGCAAGTTTGCATCTTTAGGGCACTAGAGGGCAGTGTTCAACTATTTATTTAGCGGTTACGGACGAGCTGTACAAACTCTAGCGTGAATTTCCTAGTTGCCGTAAAACTGTACGGTCATATTTCTTCACAGTGCATCTACAGATACAACATTAGATTTAAAAAATATATTAGTAAATGCTGAAGACCAGTAATGGTAATTGATAGCGCATGTTAACTAATATTACCATATTTTAATATAAAACATTGTCATATCGTGTCGATTACAAGTTATGATAGCCTATAGATTTGTATTTATGATAGACACATTTTTTAGTAAAACCTTGTGAATTCTTTAAATTGTGGTGTGTTTTTCCAAAGCATATTCTGTCTAAATTAACACCTACCAAAAGTTTGAAGTTAGTATATGCTAACTAACAAACAATCTATAACACATCATTGTTGTTTGGTTCCAAAGCTTTGACAGGAACATCATTATTATTGTCTTATCATCACCTGGCTTATGTCTTTGCTGAACAGCAGAACTGTAGCAGACAGTCAAATACTTTGCATATAGGCCTAACTGTAATGCCCTCATGTGGCATGTAAATGTGTGGTTACACAGGTGTAACCCTCTGAGAGCCAATGCAAATGCTCACTCAAAAGCAGTTGTTTCGCAGACAGCTCAAAGCAACTGTAAGCCAAGGTCTGAGGTCATTGCCTAATTTATCTGATTTAACCTCACAGTCATGCTTGCATATTAAAAGGCCGAGCCTCGGCCAAGGAGAGCAAGTGTAATGAATTTACAATCTCTTTCTGCAAGCTAGACAGGATCATCAGCAGTGTTGATGCCGCAGTGTGGCATGGGCACAGTTCATTCGACCTTGGAACACATGGTCCAGTTTGGCACTGGCATCTGTGACGGGTCATGGCAAACGCATAAACCTGAGAAAACACAACTGGGATGAGATGACAGAACAGAACAGAACAGAACAGAACAGAACAGAATAGAATAGAATAGAATAGAATAGAATAGAATAGAATAGAATAGAATAGAATAGAATAGAATAGAATAGAATAGAATAGGATAGAATAGAATAGAATAGAATAGAATAGAATAGAATAGAATAGAATAGAGAATATCCACTAAACAAATAGGCGAATATGTGAAAATTGAACATGTGCAGTTGTTACTGTAAGGAGTAAAAGAAAAAAACCCATACAAAGCGTTAGTCAGATTGATTCAGTACAAATGTGGACTTAAACCAAGTTAATTGAACCATTTTTAGGTTTCAAACCATTATTTGACTAAATATTTTTTAGGACACCGATGATCCATCCAAGACATTGATAAAAGAATTGAATACACTGTAAAAAAACCCTGATATGATCAAGTTATGACAACATATGTTTTTACATTGCTTTAACTCATCAAAATAAGTTAAGCAATTTTCAACTTTTTTTTTATAAGTTCAACTTCATACAAGATTCAACTCGACAAGGTTTCACCGTACTGTGAAATATCTATTGTTTGATAACATCTAATTCATGGGGATGCCATTTACACTAAGTGAAAATAGCAGTATTTTCTTTGCTCTAAGTGTAAATAGTTGTATAGATGTTATTTTTAGTTAGTGCAAATAGTGGCAGCCCAATGTAGTGCTATTACAAAACAGTAATAATAACAACAACATGTTCAATGTATGATTATTGATTATATATATAAAATCATAAATGGATGCTGCCTTATTGGGACATTACTTGTACCCACCCGAACACCTATCCAATAAACACTTTATTCCCACTATTACCTTATTTCCACTTTTCCAATTTTCTAAATTTTTATTTAAATATACGCCTCTCCAATCTGATGTGCGATGGGAAAAAGAAAAAAGGCGGCTTTGAACTCGGGTTGGGGTCGGGTCAAAAAATATTGGCTCAACCAGACATCGGTGGCGAAGTTAATATTAATAGCCTCTGCCAAAATAGACACTCCAATTGAAATGCTTCTAGAGTCAAAAAATAAATATAAGCTATTTAATATGATTAAATGATTGCATGAGTGATTGCATGGCATTAATAACTGATTACTGTATACCAAAAGATCATCAAGTACAACTCTTTACGACAGCAGCTGGCAATATCCACATTTTTACATTTTGCAATATACTTAATTTTAGTATGTTGGTTGGACTAGCAAACACAGAAAGCTAATTTCTTATTGTGCCCTATTAAAAAAAAAAAAAATTCAGTCTACTACACTTTAAAAATATCATTTATTTAGCTTATTTATTTTTGAGTATTAAAACTTATACGCCATTACCACTAAAAATAAAATAAAAAACAAAATAAAAACTATTTGCTTTATTATTGTCATTTTTGTTGTTATTAACTTCCTATTCATAAATTCTAATAACTTACAACTTTAAGGAATTCAAGCAATGTACTGTGCGCAGATACTTTTACAAAAGAGAAGGTGTTGTGTGTGTGTGTGTGTGTGTGCTCAAAGAGGCCTATAAAGGGTTTTGTGATTCAGGCCCATTCACCTTCTTCCCAGCACTGGAGCATGAATAATTAATACGGCTGCTGTTTGACCATTTGCTGCTGTTATTTACACTGTTGTTGTTGATTTAGTTGCCATGTTGAGTTTGTTACCTTTGTCGGTTTGTTGACTGTCACTCTTGTGTTTCATGTAGCAAATCTTCAGGTCTGATCGTGTCAGTTTCAAGTATATTATTAGTTTTTGTAGTTGTTTATTTAGTTAGTTAAAGTTTATTTCGGTCAACTTCAAAGGAAAAGGCAAAAAAGAAAAACAAATTTACAAACATACATGAAACAAAAATAAATAATTTGCTTGACCGAAAAGGTGTCGGCTGAAGCTTATGCTTATTGCGCCGAACCTTTTTACATTTTATTTATTTAACACACAACACAAAACACCAAAGTCATCTTGCGTACATAAATAGTGACTAAAAGAAAAATAAGCTAAATTCATTCAGCTTTGTATAATGTAATCTTTTTTTTAAATATAATTTCTTAAAGCTACCTATGGATTTACATGTTTTCAGTTCATCATCAAGACTATTCCACAATTGATCCTCCTGAACAGACCGACATCTCTGTTTGACATTGGTTCTAATCTGTGTTACTGAACATGAGTGTTCCTCTGAGCTCATATATAAGGAGTAGATCTGAAACAGGTTTTGGACATAGTCTGGAAATTTATTATTCATTATTTTAAACATTATTTTGGCTATTTTAAATTCCACTAAGTCATTCAATTTTGATAATAATCTGTTTTATTTATAATTCGTATTGCACGGTTTTGCATGCAGAATAAGAATTGGTTTTAATTGTAGTTTTGTATGCATTTCCCTAGATCTCTACGCAATATGTCATGCACTATTAGAGACTGGTACAGTATATTTAAGGCCTTTGAATCAAGAATGTGTTTTATTTTAGACAAAATAGCCAGAGTTTTTGAAATTTTTGACTTTATGTAGGCTATGTGGGATTTCCAACTGAGTTTGTGGTCAATATACCACAATATAACAATATAATAATAATAATAATAATTTAATTTCACTTACTATTTCTAATTCAAACATTTCAATTCTATTTCTAATTGGACATTTGTATGTATTTGTTTTATTACTAAATAAAATAATTTTAGTTTTATTTATATTTAATAACAATTTATTAACATCGAACCATTTTTTAAATGTTTTCATTTCTGCTTATTTATAATAAGTGTTTATTTGATGTTGTTAATAATTTAACACTGTAAAGCTTACTATATGAAGTTATAGAAAAATCGAATA